GTGGCTGTGGGAACTGGGGAAGGGGATGCAGGATTCCCAGACTGGGTGCTTACTAAAACTACAGCTGCCTGGAGCTCTGCCCAGGCCTCGTGTGTCCTGTCCTCTGAGGGCAGGGCCTGAAAGATCTGTATTTTTAGCAAACTCCCTGGGTGATTCTGCAGCAGCCAGCCCTGTTCTCATATTTGGGGACCACAGGTTCAACCTCGTCATTGTAATAATGAGTAAACTGAGGTCTGGAGAGGGAAAGTAACTCACCCAAGGTCACACTGAGAGAGAATGATGATAATGCCCGCCTTTTTCTTGGGGGAAGGCGTAGTCCACTTCTAGCTAGCTCCATCCACCCCCAGCTGTGGCCCAGGGCCCAGGAAGGGATGGCAGAGCCAGGCTGCCCAGAAGGAAGTGGCCTCTGAGACCTTGGCAGGCCCAGGTGGAGAAGGAAGGGTGGGGCTCGTCCTAGGAGGAAGGGCAGAAAGGGGGCCATTCCCACAGGATGGGACCTGCCCTGTGCAAACACTCCCAGCACCTGCTGGAGGATGTTTCCTAAAAGATTTACTACAGCCTGGTCTGGGGAAGGCCATTTCCATTGCTGGGGGCCCACCCATGCCCTGGAAAGGCATGTCCACAGCACAGAAGATTCGGGGCACACTTGGCCCTCTGACTCTTCTGGCCCCCCACTGCCCCCTCCCTAGACCCTTCTCCCCCACCCCTACCTGACCCACTGTCCTGGGCTCCCAGACTCTGCTCTTGCCTACACTGTCCCCCGACATCTCAACCTGTGAGCATCTGCGTGAAGCCTCCCCAGAACCCCAGTGGCTGCCACGCTGCTGCTCCCTCTTCTGGCTCCCACACACTCTTTACCACCAGGTCCAGCCCCCCTCGCAGGCTGCCGAGTTCTGGTTCTCTGCATGTCTCTCGCTCTCTGGGGTGGCATCAGGGATTCCTGGGGACAGAAGACAAGTCCAGCTCATCTCTGGGCCCTCCTCGGAGCCCAGCTTCTGCAGCACGCCCCAGCAGGTGTTCAGAGTGGCTAAGATTCTGAATCTTACCTCCCTCCCTCACACCCCAGGCCATCTTGGGCAGGTTCCTCCACCCTTCTGCACTGCAGTGTCCTTGTTCACGGAATGGAGAGAATAGTAGTGCCCAGCAGAAGGGTGAAATGAGGATTGTGAGAGCACGTGTAAAGGAGGTCAGGCGTGCCTGGCACTTGGTGTTAAATGTTAGCCATTGTTATCATAGAGGTGGTGGAATACTCCAGCCCACGCACGTCCACTCCTCCTTCATTCCACAGCACACATTGGCCAGGGGTCTACTCTGTGCCAGAATGATGAGTCCTGCTGCATGCATGGTGAGCACAGCAAGATGCTGGTCCTCCTTCAAGGAGGGCACAGTTTTGCAGGCGCTTCCTTAGGTGACTTCAAACCAGAGAGCTGTGGTGAGGTGGGCAGAGAGGGTTGTGGAAGCCCCTAGAGGGCCCTAACCCAGTGTGTTGGGAGTGAGGGGGGGCTTCCTGAAGGAGAAGATACCAGAGCTGTGTCCTGAAGGGTGAGGAGGTGATGCTATATGCTAAGCAAGAGAATGAGGGGGAACCAGCTCTCTGCCGTGGCTTTTGGAGTAAACGGGCATGAGGAGGTGGAGACTGTGGGTGTAGACAACTGAGGCAGTAGGTGGAAGGGACAGAGGGTCAAGAGAGGGGGTTCCTAAGAATCCCAGTCACTATTTGCTGGCTGTCCAGAGATGGGGAGATGAAGACCCTGGCACAGGAGGCCCTGTAGGAAACAGAGCTCTGAAGAAGCCTCTTTGCCTCTGAGTCTCACTGCCTTCATCTTCAAAATAGGGCTGTTGTAACTGGGACAAGAGGTGTTGTGAAAGCACTTGGTGAACTATAAGGGATAATAGTGTTTTGGGTAGAGCTGGTACTTTCTGAGAGCGACAGGATACCTCTTGAGGTCAACTGGGAGCTCCCAGAGCCTGGTTGCCATGCAGGGCCCAGAACCTCCTGTCACCTGCTCCTGTGCTGCCACCTGCTGGCGAGTGTCTGCAATGGCAGCCTGAGGCCTCCAGCCCTTCCTGCTGTCCAGGCGGGAGACCGCAGGGTGCCTGAGTGCGGAGCTGGGAGAAGTCCTGGTGCTCACGTCGGCAGGCTCCAGGGCAAGAGCGCAAACGGAAGCCCCAGGCCGCTCTACAACCCACGTCCTTGCTCTTTTCAGCCTTGGCCTCTGCTCTCACTGGGAAGGTCCTCACATGTGTGCAAGGGGCACACGCCTCCCGGTCAACCCACACACCAACAGCGAGGATAGACCCAGAGAGCGGCTGGTGCAGGAATCCTGGAGTCCTGGACACCCTGAGCATGGTCTGGAGTGGACTGTGGGCTCCAGAAGGCACATCCCCTCGGCCTTGGGGCATCCAGGCTGCTTAGGTGGGGACGTGGCTTAGAGTGACCAACTCATCTGGTTTGCCCAGGACTGTCCTGGATTTAGTACTGAAAGTCCTATGCCAGCAAGCTGGGACAGTTGGTCACTCTGCCGTGACCCGAGGAGGACCAAAGCCTCTGCCTCACCACGCTGGCTCGGCCCAAGCAGCTTGGGCTCAGAGAACCAAACTGGCCTCTAATGCCGCGGGGGCCTTCCTTTGCCAGTGGAGCCTCTCCCGCCATCCCTCTCTCCACCCCCGAGGGCTCTGCCCCAGGCACTTGGTCCGCCGGTAGTCTGTGGGTGAAGAGACCCTTCTACCCCTTGCCCCATTCTCCAAACCAGATTCCTGGGGCCCTGAGGCCTGGGGCTCGTCTGTGAGGTTGGGCTAAGAGAAGAGAACGGGTGAGGAGGGACTTCTGGAACAATCCTCTCATTATACAAGGACGTTGAGGCCCAGAAGAGGAGAGCTTTGCCCCAGGACCCTGATGGAGACTTTGCTGTTGGCTGTTTGTGGCAACCCACGTCCACCCCTTCCTCTTGGTAAGAGCACCCCGTGTGCCCCAGAGGGGCCCCAGCCCCATCCCTGGCTCTAAGGCTGGGGCACGCGATCCAGGCATAATCCCACAGTGATTGGCTCAGCCTTGAGCATGTGACCAAGTTGGTCCAGTCTGAATGAAGACCTGGGCTTTTGTGTGTGTGTGTGTGAGGAAGATTAGCTCTTAGCTAACATCTGATGCCAATCCTCCTCTTTTTGCTGAGGAAGATTGGCCCTGGGCTAACATCCTTGCCCATCTTCCTCTACTTTATATGGGACGCACCACAGTATGGCTTGACAAGCAGTGCATCGGTGCACCTGGGATCCGAACCTGTGAACCCCGGGCCGCCAAAATGGAGCGCGCGCACTTAACCGCTATGCCATGGGGCCCCAGACCTGGGCTTTTATTGTGCAACTGGGGAGATCTAGAACATGAAATCAACCAACCAAACCTCTCCGTGCCCACGCTTGATCAAGACAGGGAGACGACGAGTGCACAGAAGTTTGTAGCTATTTATTGCACTGAAAACACCAAGAATAAAACAGACACCCTTTCTTCCCTCCCTCCCCCCAATAGCAGAAAGTTTGAGCAGTGGTCATTCAAGTTCACAGCCATATATTAAAAAACAAGAAAGAACTGAAACAAACCCCCAAACAAATAGTAACAAAGAAACCAGCACGGGGAGTCTGGCAAACACATCCCCCAAAGGGTCTCCCCTTGACGGGAGACAGGAGGCCAGGGGTCAGGATTAGCGCCACAGTGGGCACACACCCGGGAGAAGACTTTCCTGTAAACACGTTTGCATGCTGGAGCTGAGGTCTTGTCTTAGGTCTGGATTTTTTGCATCTATGGGATGTTCTGGAGGAACGCAGACTTTGTCTGGTGGGGGTGGGCTCTGGGCTGCTGTGTCTGCCAGTCTCCCCTGCCTGCTGCCTTGGGATCACGCCAGTGCCCTGTAGTCCACACCGGCTGGCTGCCCACCGACAGGCGTGGCCTTCACAGTGGGGCCATCTCAGCCTGGGGTAGGGATCTATGTCCACTTCTCTGGCACTTAGAGAGGGACACAGTGGACAGGAGGTGTGTTAGCAAATGAAGAGCAGGACCTTGGTGTCCCTCAGCTCAGTTTCCTCTGGTGGGGAAACTGAGGGCCAGAGCGGGGAAAAGACTTACCCAAGGTCACACAGCAGTCTGGACAGAGCTGGCAATGGAATCCTAATAACCCCCACACCACAGCTCTTTCCCCTGCAGTCCGCTGCTGATAAGCAGTTGACAGGCACCAAAGAGGGGAATCAGGAGCAGGCAGGGCAGGGGGGGTACTGGCCTGGCCCAGAATGGAGCAGGAGTCCAGCCGCTGACCAACCCTGTCAGTTCTACAGGTGTCTACGGCTTCACCTCACCATCCCATTTGATTCCCCATCAGACCTGCAACATAGGCTGGGCAGGAATATTTAACCCCTTTAACCAATGGGAAACTGAGGCTGAAGACGGGGCAGACTTTGCCTTGGCAATTGTAGCATCCCCTGGCGAAGGCCACACCCTCACCTTTGGCCTGGGGATGGCTACGGGACCTGGCAGCTCACAAGGGAGACAGGCGGTTTCTCTGCTGGGATGCTGGGATCATGGGGCCTTTCTGGGAAGCCCTCGGGGCCTGGGGCAGGCCAAGCGCCCACCCCTGGGCCTCGGCAGCAGGGTCTCTGCCAAGGATAGAGGCCAGTGATTGACCAGTTTGGAGACCAGGAGGCCTGGGCAGCCTCCTTCCTGGCCTGCAGCCCCGCCTGGCTCGCCTCACCTGTCCCAGGGGCGGCAGCAGTTGAGAAAAGGGCCCAGCAGACAGCTCACTATCAGGGAAAACTCAGGAAGTCCTGGATCAAACATCCCCAATACCCAGGACTCACAGAGGTTCGGGGGAACCAGAGGCTCCTTCAAATCCCTGGGGCTGTGGCTCTTCCTCCCCTAAAATCCTCCAGAGGGGACAGTATCTCATGCTGGCAAAACACGGCCACACAGAGGCCAAAAGCACAGAGAGGCAGCAACATAATTCCGAGTCGGACACTGAGAATACAACCTCTTATTTTTTTTTTTTTTGTCCAAAACATGTAGATTGGTTTTGCTGAGTGTTTTTTCTTTTCTTTTTTTTTTTTTCAACATACTTACTGCATATAAAGTCATGCAAAGAAAACAGTGCAGACAGTAGATCCTGGCGGATGTGCCAAGGCAATCCACATCTGAGTCAGTCCCGGGGAAGAGGGACAGAGAAAGGAAAAGAAAGAGAGAGATGCGAACCTAGGATGCAGGACGAGGCATGAAGAGTAGGAATTCCAGGGCTCTGCTTGGACCAGCGGACGCCGAGGGGAGAGGCAATGAAGACACATGCTTGTGAACCCCCCAGAGATGGTTAGGGGGCACTGGGGGTGGCACACAGATGTGGTGGGATGAAATCCTGGGAAGCGTGGTCGTAAGGACCCCAGTTTGGGAGCCAAGCAAAGTCCAGATATTTCCATCTTGACAACCTCCCCCACTCTCTCTGATTTGCTGTTTCTTAGCACTAACATCTGATGCTTCTAGTCCTGAAAGGAACCTTGGGACCAAAATGTCAGGGAGGCCCTTCCCCCTGGGGCTGAGTCCACCTCAGCCCCAGATAAACACAGGTGACAAAGTCCATCTCAGAGATGACATGAAAAAAAGAAGAAAAAAAAAAAGACCTAGAACAGAAAAAAACTACCCTTCATCCCTCTTCCCACCTCTCTTCCCAGCCCTCCCGTCCCTCCTCATAATAATTGGAGAGGTCTAGTTATTACATAAATATCCATTAACGCAAAATCCATTTACGAAACACACGGAAGTTTGGCTATAAAAAGGCATGCGGTCCAAGTAGAAGGGATACCTAAATGCTTTCTTTTGCCCCCAAAAAGCAATCAGATTCTCTCCCTCGGATGTGACGAAGCTGGAATTCTCCAGGCCTGATGGCAGGGTGGAATGGGCGGTTAATGTTGGAGGTAAACATCAGCAGGAGGAAGGAGGAAAGAAGTGGGGGCACCCTGAGAGCATCACGCTCCCCACACCGAGGGAGAAGGGGGAGTCGGAGACCAGGAGGGCATGACAGGACGGGAGGAGAGTCAGGGAGGCAGTCTGAGGCAGGAGGCTCCTGGTGTCTGCTCATCTCTCACCCTCTCCCGCAGGGGAGGTTGGCCCAGGGGATCAGGGATCCATCTGCCCTTCCCCAGGGGACCCCTGAAGAGGAGAGATCACGGAGAGGGTCGGGCGATGCCACATTCCTCCTGACTCTGCCCCTCCTTCTCCCCAGCCCCTGGGTGAACACACTGTTGGGCATTCTGGCCTAGGCAAGACCAGGCCGACGACAGCCAGGTGGGGGGTCCTTGGGGCCAGCATCCAGGGCACCCAGGCCTGAGGAAGCCCTGCCCTGACAGGGGACAGAGAGCAAGAGTGGCAGGTGAGGGGCCAGGAGATGTGGCCATTTGCTCTGAAGTCGTGATGGCTTTTGTGAACAGACAGGTTTTCTTGACGCGGGTATGAAAGAAGGTGACGGTGATGGTGGTGTTGGGGGGGGTGACGTGATTGGGGGAATTCCAGCAAAATCCAAGTGGGAGAACCAGCCGCCACATTCCACAGACGAAGAGTGGATCTCTCCAGCCTGGTCCTTCAACTGTTAAGACACAGTATGTGTAATGCTTAATGCAGGTGCTCCTGAGGGTGCCATGGTGTACTCGGGCAACCACCCACCCCACCTCCTTAGATGGATTCAAGCTGCCTCCTGCGGGTCCCACCCAGCTCCCCACCCCCACCCCGTCCCCACCCCCCGCCCCAACCTGCAGGCCTGGTCCCCTTCATATGGTCCTCCCTCCCCACCCCATGCCCTTCCAGCAGCCAGGTTCCCCAACATGTACCCCCTCCAGACTGACACCACCCCATTCCTTTAGATTGTCCTAAATGGGAGATGACAGGAAGGGGGGGGCTTACTGGGGCAGGACGGAGGGCGCCCCAGATCTGTGGAAGTGGACGATCTGCCATTTGCCGTCCCGGCGGTGCCAGACGCGGGTCTCCTCCGACTGGGCCGTGCGGGGGATGCCGCCTGCGTCCAGGTACTGCGTGATGCGGATGTAGGCGATGCAGGCCGACTCGTCACCCATCAGGTGGATGTGGGGGTTCAGGATGGTGGTGTGCACAGGCTTGCTGTTCCGGGACCACACTGGAGGTGGGGATGGGAGGGGGCAGAGGAGATGCAACTGGGGGGCCTCCTGCCCCACTTCCTTCACTTCCCCAACTCCCAGCGACCCTCTCAGCGGAGGCACTTCTGCCTGCCTCGTTTCCAGAGGAGGGGTCTCTGTGACAGGGCTCAGATACCTGGGAGTCAAGACAGAACTTCTAGATGACCAGATCATATCCCAACTTAGATACAATGGATTTCAGACACGCCTGATTCTTCAAACGCAGGGAAATGGCATTTTAGAATCATAGTATCTCAGACACACAGAAGAATAGGACTCAGATGATTATAGAATCAGATGAGCTTAGACCAGGGTCTCAAACCCAGATCCCTACAGGGGCCAGGCAGGTACATAAAGGAGGGGGCAGAACTGGGTATAGATGCTAAATGACCCTTTGCCTCTGTGTCAGGGAGACAATAGGAGTGGTGGAGACTGGGGTGAATAGCCCACCATGTCCCATTTATAGAGGGCACCTTGTACAGAGCTTCCCTGGTGGTTGCTATATGAGCAAGTGGGACTCATGTTGCCACACCTTCTGATTCATCAAGAGAATCTAGAAATCTGGATTTTTATGTGAAAATGCCTCATTTTTAATTATTGGCATCTAACTCAAATTTAAAACATCATGCAGGCCGCATGAAACATATGTGCAGTCCAGATATGGCCTGTGGGCCCCTCGTTACCACCTCTACTCTCAACACATAGAATTATGGAAACTTGGGAAATCTTAAAATTGCAGAATCTTAGAATCTTGGAATTGTAAGGATGGTATTGGTGGTCATGGGGTGAGGTCATGGAATGTTCCAGAGTTAGGGGGAAATGCATAGCTCTAGTAATCAAGACAGAACTGACAAAAGTACCTGAAACCAGCTCTCTCTATGTGAAATATAAGCCACCATTATTATTAATATTATTATTACTAATTATTTTGGTTCTAGGAACTCTCAATTTTTTCAGCAAGATAGAAAACAAAAGCACAGAAAGACAATGACCCAGGGAGGGGCTGGACATGGGTCACCAGGATCTCGGGCTTCAAAGGAGCCCTCACGCCTTCCCTTAGTGTAGACCAAATGGAGGTCTGAATCCCATAGCCAGCTGATTTAAAATATAGACTGCCCATCCCCATCCTTGGAGGTGCCAGTTCAAGAATCTGCAATATTAGAAAGCCCCCTTTCCCTGCCCCGCCCTCTGATGCTGATGCCCAGCCAGGTTTGTGAGCCACTGATTTCCTGAAAAATGTAAAATGTCTTTTTTTTCAGGACCAGAGAAAGCATCCAATAGTACCCACTCCCTAATATAACGACACTAACCCCAGGCTAAAGGACCAAACTCACTGAGTCTTATTTATGTAGACTAACAGACTTCTACAATTCTGGGCTCTCGGACAGAGAGAATGTACAGCTTTTGTGTCATAGGCTTGGGAGTGACCTCAGAGGTCTGAGATCATCCAACGGCCCTCCTACAAAATGCAAGGAGGGCTCCGTGAGCCTCCTCGACAGCATCCAGGGCTGGAGGCATTCAAGACCGTCTAGTTCAACGCATCCATTTAGCAGATCTGGAAACTGAGGTCCAGAGAAGCAATCCAACTTGTCCCAAGCTGGGCTAGTTTCTGAAAGAAATGCAGTAGAATCTAAAAGAAGTCAGTCTCTAGGTGGGATTGAATTAGGACAGTCTAGAACAATCCCAGAAGGGACAAAGAGCACTTGGCATTGTTGAGGGCACTGGGCCTTGCTGTTGGTGAGGGCTGAGGTCCTGAGGGGCATTTGTAAAGAAATGACCACCGTCATGTGGGGTCTCTTGAATGCGCTGTAGGCTTCCAACATCCACCCTCGGGGATAGCGTGGGAGGTGAGGCCAGGTCCTCCAGCAGGAGAAAGCAGGCGGGAGGGTGGGACTTGGCCAGAGCAGGCAGTTACTCTGGGTCTTGCTCTCGTGGGTCCTTTGCTATGACCAGATCTTCAAGCCTAGAGTCCGGGGGGCCGGTGCTATGATGGGGCCCCCTGCCTGGCTGCAGGCCAAGGGCTGGCACGGCCTTTTCTCTGTTTGTTTCCCTTTTGCCATCCCTGAGCCTTTAGAGCCAGCTCTGCCTGGTCTCTGCTCTGCTCTGTGGGGATTGAAGAGTTCACTGTGGGGAACCAGCGCCCCCAGAGGACAGGCCAGTGTAGAGGTGGCTGTGGGGATCAGCCAGGGAGCACCAGGGTGATGGGGACCCCTGGGTCCAGTCATCTCTCTTCACTTGAGAATTCAGCCTCCATTGCTAGGCTTGGAGAATCAGAGTTTGATTTATCAAGGGAAAATGCAGCTTCCTTCCTCACAGTTTTTTTGGAGTGCTCGAGCCCCTGTACTCTCTAAGATTCGGTCAGATTGGGTGCAGGTAGGAGAGGAGTGTCCAGCTGGGGGCCATGAATGTGCAGGTGTGGGGGAGCACAGGGAAGGGAAGAGGCGCTGTAGTGAGTCAGGACCAGGCTCTGCCACCGACTCTCTGTGTTCCTTTGGACAAGTCACTTCCCCTCTCTGGGCCTCAGTTTCCCCTTCTGTGTGATGAAGACTTGGACTAGATCCTACTTCAGTCACTTAAAAACCGCCTTTATTTTTACCATCTACAAGTGCCACCTCTACTTACTTTGTTAAAATATTTCCTTAAATTGATTCAGTTTATTAATTTATATAAATTTATTTTAAAAGAAAACTTTCTAGCACAATCATTAATGAACAGAATACAATTTTAAGAAAAAGTCCAGCGAAACAAATTAAGTTATATAATCTCAGCTCCATGCTCTTGCCCGCAAGGGATCTGAACCTGAGACTGCCTGAGACTCTCTGATGAAGAGGTGAATTAGAAAGTGCTCGAGAGGTGTTAAAGTTAGGCTAGCACCCAACTGAGACTTTCCCCATGATGGAGTCAGACCTATTGAAAGAGAATTTAGAAAGAGACCAACTTTCTTGCAGTGTGAACCAATGCTGTTTCAAGTGGTGCCCACATGCACGGGAAATCATCCTGTGTAGCCTTCGCAGTTCACCCCTCCCCTTTGGGGCACCCTGGCCATGCCACCCCTCAGGGCCTTCCTCTGGGTCCTGAGCTGCATGATTCTAACCTGCATGTGCTTTGGTTGGTCCCTCTCTGACCCCTGGCCAAGGTGAGACACAGACACAGGCCGAAAGCACCCTAGGTCAGGCCCAGCCTCAGCCCCCTGACAGCCCCTGCTTGCAAAGCTGCCAGGGTCTCTCCTGCAGAGGAGAGGCCCAGGAAGGACAGACACGTGGATAGGACCTAGACAGACAGACAGGGCACAGCAGTGTGAGCTCGGGTCCTCTCTGCTTCCCCAGACTGCCCACCCACAGAGGGCACTTGTATAACAACCCACAAGACAGCTTGTGACCAGCTGGGCAGCTGGGGTGGCCCCAGGCATCAAGATGACCGTTAACTTGGGTGTGTGCCCCAGTGGGAAGGCTCTCTTATTTGTAAAATGGGAATAAAGGGCCTCCCAGGGTCATGGGCAGGGGAGGGCCGAGTGGGCTTGTCACCCTCATCCCAGGTCCCCACGCTTAGACACAGGAGGGACAGCTGGTAGTGGGACAGGCCAGGGTTAGGAGAGGGAACCAACATGGTACCAACCCCTGTCCACACGAGATCTTCCTCTTTGCTGGCTCCTGAGCCGCCCCGGAGGCCCTGCCCGTCACCCTGCTGTGCCATCCGGCAGGACACGGAACGAGAGCAGACAACAGGTACCCCAGAGAGAAGGGATTGCTCACGGTTTTCAAAATAGAATCGATGGAAGTCCAGGCCCTCGACCAGGTTCCCCAGGGCCTCGGGTTCAAAGGCTGTCATCCCAGGGTCACACATCTTCCTGGGGGGAGGAAGTCAGAGGAAAGAGGGGCTGGGGCGGCCTCTCGGAGCTACTCTCGAATTCCAGGGGCCTGGACCCCAGAAGGGTGAGCCTGTGAAATCAAAGCAATTGCACCCACCTCATGGGATCAGCGAGGCTGGTGGACAGGAAGGGCTTGCAAACTGAACAGTGTGGGGCATTGCTGACTGGTTGGTGCCATTGAGAACTGGGAAGCCTGGTTTGGGGTCCTGGCTCTGCCCCTTACTGGTTATGAGACCCCCAGCAAGGGGCTTAACATCTCTAAGCAAGAGCACCATGAACATGGGGCAGAGCTGTACACTGCACTAAGGTGCCAACAGGGATAATCCAGCCTGTGCGCTACTCTCCAAATTGCACCCCCCACCCCCAGGGCAGCAGATCCAGAGGGGTCTTTTCCTAATTTGTCTTCTCTTGGGGGAGGCCTTTTCCTTCACATCAAAGTCACATCTGCTCACCAAGCAGGTATGTCCCTGGAGGGTGTACTTTGCTACTTTAAACAAAGGTGCCCTATTGTTAGCAGCGGCCCTCTCGGTGAGCCTCAGTTTCCTCTGCTGTCACATGAACGTCCTTGAAGTCATGCCTGAGAGGAAGGGGCACAGGGCATACCAAGGAGACCCTCAGCTGTGCCTTGTCAGCTCCGTGGTCCCTTCCAGGTCTCAGTCTTTTGAGACCCTGAACAGCCAGGTGGGAGAAGGAAAAAACTGTCCCCCCATCCTCAGGTCTCTGGGATCTTCTGTGGCACAACATGGACCCCTGTGACCATGACAGTGAAGCCAAGGACAGGAGGTGCCCCAAGACAAGTAAAGATCCCAACCTGGGGAGGAACTGGGGACACTGGGCTTCAGGCCCAGCATCATCGTAGCTGGACACTATGGCGCATGCCCTGTCCTTGCTCTGCCCTGACTTCCTGTCTATGTGACCCCAGACAACTCGCTTCTCCATTCAGGACCTCAAATTCTCCAGATGGATTAGCCAGTGGCTGGGGGGCTGTGCTCAGACCATATGGGATCTCAGGACTCTTCCAGCCCCAGAATCCTCCAAGGCTGAGGGTCTGAGCTCTGAGTGTCCAGAAGACCAAGCACCCCCACTGGAGAAGCCCCTCTCCAGGAGGTCTCTGGGCGTCCCTGCCCCCAAAGGGACTCAGATACCATCTGTTCCAACTCCATTGTACACACAGGGAAACCAAGGCTCAGTGAGACGAAGTGACTCATCCAGGGTAGGGCCAGACTCAGGGCACCACGGGCCCCAGAGGTCATGGCAAGGGGTCAGAGCCTAGAGTAGGCTGCAGATGCCAGAGGAAGTGACACCACAGAGATGGGAGGGGGTCCCCAGGAATGGCACTGGGGGACTTGGTGTCCACAGGAGCCACTCTTTCCCTCCCTCCCTCGCTGTGTCCTTCCAAAGCCAGTCTCAGGCTCTCCTATGGCTGACTTGACTCCTTCTAGGACAGGCTGCAAGACCCATTCAACAGTATATTTCCATGCCTTTATGCAACACCCAGGTGCACACGTGCACACACACCTGTGCACACAGTCACAAGCACGCATGCGTGGACAAGTGTATGCATACATGCATATATATATGAAGCCTCAGTCTCACACCTGCACCTTCCAAGGTCCTTGTTCTTCCAGATATACCAATAGACTGCTGGGGCTTTGCCACCCCCTGCAGAAACCCTCTCACAAGTAGAATGTGCTGGCCTGTCAAGCCTTTGGGAGACACCGCAGCTCCTGGGCACAGCGGAAACCAGGAACAGGCTGCCCAAGGAGCAAACCCCAGCCAGGTTGTTCCCACCTCACCTGAACCCAACAGGAAAGGGTCATTCTGCCTTAGTTGACAGCTTTTGTCCACCAAAAAGCATTGTGGGGTCTCCAGACCCAGGCTTGTCAGCCCTGGCCAAGACATTGAGGCCTCAGCCCAGAATCCTCTCCCTGCCTAGGGCCAGCTGAGGGCCTCCTTCCCAGCCAGACCAGGAAGGGTATGGGTGACCACCAGGGGGCGCTCCAGCTCAGCCTTTGAACACAGTCACCTGTCAATGGCTAGTCCAGGCAGGTAGGGGATGTCTCACATCACCTGTTTCATTTTATGTTGTTTTTGTGCATCTGCCTTATTCCCCAGAGGAGTCAAGTTTCCGTTTTGAGGTTCTTTGGCTCACCCCTGCTCACTGGCGGTACACACCCTAAGGATTCCGGCCCACTCCTGCCCATCAGAGGTCAGAGGTCTGAGGAGGTCCAGGGTGACGACCTAGGCCCAGGCGGCAGGGCTGAGGGGCCTGCCTCCCTCCCCTCCTTCCCAGCTCATCTCCTAGGAGCCCCATCCTGTGGTGGAGACCACCCCCTCTTTCCCAGGGGAAGCAAAGGAGTTTTGTTGGAGTTCCTCCTGGGGAACAGGACGTGAGGAGGAGGAGAAGGACTGAGACATAGAGAAGTGTCGTGAACAGAAAGCTTAATAAAAGAAAGAGTCTGAATGCAGAGCAGAAACACGAGTTCAGTCTGATTCACAGCACATGCAGAGTGAGTGAATGAGGGTCAGAGACGCGGACCCCCAAAGTTAGCCATCAGCCCCCCTGAACACCCATACAGGCAGGACATGCAGAATGGGCCCAGCAACTCACGTGTAGGACTCAAAATCTCCATTGCTTATGGCTTCGATCAGCTGCTCTGTCACTTTTATAATTTCCTGTTTCCGCACTGTAGGCAGGAGGGGACACAGAGAAATGACAGGAATAGTAACAGTAATGGAGCACTGGCTACCGTTTCCTGAGTCCTCACCATGTGCCAGACCCTGTGTGGGACCCGAGGGCCTTGTCTGTATTGTCTCATTTATCCTCACATTGTCCCTGGGAGGTGTGTCATTACTCCCATTTCACAGAAGAAGAAAGTGAGGGCCAGAAGGCAGGAAAAGGTATGAAATCTCCCTCAACTACAAAGGGCAGAGCCAATGTCTCAGTCAGCAGCTTTTCCTCCAAAAAGCATGCCTGGTGGATGTTCTGATTCTTGGCCTGATTTGAACCCAGGTCTTGATCCCAAAATATGCTTCTCTATCACCTTGCTTTGCCACACACAAATCAAAACAAGGTCGACTGTGGCGGTTGTCACTAGCAGCCACGAACCAGGGGCTCCCCCATGGCCCAAACTGGCGCCGAAGGTCTCGGGGCTCACTCATCCCTTAGGTCTGGGTGAGCTTTCTGCTCCATTTGGGTGCGTGTAGAAATCAGGCAGTGAGCTGTTCTGGTACTTTCCAGGCATAATGAATCCCTGCTGCGGAGACCCAGCCTCCCCTGTCCTCCCCTGGGACACCGTGAACAGCTGGTCTTTCCTGTAGAGGGTTCAGTGTCAGTTTTCTTATTAGGTGCGTGATGCCCCGAGCCCCAGTTTTCCTCTCTGTAAAATGGGGACACCATCACTTCTCATTCGTTCAGTGCCAAACACGTCATGGAAAGAACCCAGACTCAGACTTCATCTAAATTCCAGCCCAGGTCCCTACAAGCTGTGCAGCCGTGGGCCACAAGGGGTTTCCTGGTCTGTGAGATGGAGATGATAGTGCCCTTCTCGGGGGCACAAGATGATGGGTCTGACGCGCTTGGACCAAAGCCTGGCACACAGTAGGTACACGCTGTCAGTGCCATTTCCTGCATCCTCCCACACGGGTTGCCACAGCTTCTCCTCACAGACTCCCTGGGAGGTGGGCAAGGCCAGTTTCCCCCCATCCCACACACGAGGAGACTGAGCCTCAGTGATGGAGGAATCTGAAGCTGGGTTTCCCAGAGGCAGACCCTCTTCCCCTCCTCCCCGAGGCTCAAGCTTAGCTTCAAACCTGGTCAGCTCATTGACTACGGAGCAGCCTCAGGTGACACAGATGGACATGTTGCCCATTTCTCAGCCTGGGGGCATGGGAGGGAGACCACGCCTGGCTGAGGCCATGTCCCTGCCCCTTTCCTCACCACTGTCTGTGCCACCCCGCCCCATTGCACATCGGGGAGCTCAGCTCAGGCCCAGAGGACAGAATCACAGAATATCCAAGATGAGAGAACACTAGGAGACCAAGAACTCATCCTGCTTATCATACTATTGGGGAAACTGAGGCCCAGTAGGGGGTTGTGACTTGCCCAAGGACACAGAACATATCGGGTGCAGAGTTTGGCTCCCAACCTAGGGCCTTTTCCACAAGACCCCTGCACCCCAACACACTCCTGGGTGTTTCGGGCCCGTATGCTTATCTATTCCCCAACTCAAAGACGAGCTCCGTGCTGGCTGGGCCGTGGCTGTGCTCGGCCAGCTGGACCCCTGGAGCCTGGAACAGGCCTGGCCCCACAGGCACTCAGTATTGAATGAATGAGCGTGCCAGGCATTGTGCTGTGCACTTAACCTGCAGAATCCCGGAGCCTCACAGCACAACTTCAGGTGGTCATCACTCCCACATCAGAGACAAGCAAACGGAAGGCAAGAGGTTGAATAGTCTGCTCCGGCAGAGCAACCACCCCAAATGGTGTTTGCAGCTCCAAAGCCCATCACTCTCTCCCCCACCACATGCCGCTTGGGGCAGGGCTCACGCCCAGCACAGCTCTTGGCACATGGTGGTTGCTCCGCAGACATGGAAATTATCATCTGCAACATCGGTCACCATGCTGAACGACCAGTTCGTTCTCTCCTGGCTCCACTAAGAATCACCAGGGCTGGGAATGAGCCCATCTTCGACCATGAGCTCTGCTGGGTCACTCGCGGGTTGTTGCCCCTCTCCCTTTGGGGTCTTGCCTGGCGCTGGGGCAGAGGCGGCACGAATGAATGAACGAGTGTATGGCACCAAACCAGGGACTGGGGCTGCTGTCTGCCCTGTTCCCTGGACTCGCCCGAGTGGCCTGGTGGCCTCTGTCCCTAGGAATCCGAGAACCCTGCCTCCTAGTCAGCTCTGTCCTCCTTCATAGAAGCTGGAGACTGAGGATGGGAGGAAACCACCCCTGCCAGGGGACACCTCATTCCAGCTGCTCCCTCATGGAATCAGGGTGGCAACCCAGAGTGGATCCACCTGCTCATATTAGGCCGTAGGACCTGTGCCACCTCCCTGGCCTTCTCTGCGTCGACTTTAAGAATCCTTCCAGCTTGAAATTCCACAAGCCTGTGCGTAATGCCCTGTCTGCTGTGGGCTGCTTCTCACTGCCATCTCAGAGAGGCTAGCAAAGTGGTCAAGGGCATGGATTCTACAGCCAGACTTCCTAAGTTTGGATCCTGGCTCTGCTACTTAATAACTGTGTGACCTTGGGCAAAGTAATACCCCATACCGCAGTGGGGCACGGAGCTACTAATAGTACTTACCTCACATGGTTGTTCTGAGGATTAACTGAGTTAAGAATATATCCATAGAAATAGCTAACACATATATGGTCCTCGCTAAGAACCAGCTACTGTTCCAAGGTCTTTATATCAACTCCTTTATGTAAATAATGATGCATTACGTAAAGCATTTAGAGCAGCTCCCGGTGCTCCATAAATAGGTCTGTGATTATTATCATCTGCAGATCTCTGGACCGGAAGTTCCTCCTAGAACAGCCTCTAACCTCTAGCCCAGGCAGGGACACTTCCCAGCAGCCTAATGACGTAACAGTTCGGTCTTGGCTGGAACTCTAGGGCCTGCAGCCTGCTGGGCAGCCCACCACACTGTCGGACAGCTCTCGCCATTTGCGCCTGCCTCCTTTCAGGTTGAAATCTGTCCTGCTGAAAGCCCCTAGTTATAATTCTGGTCCCCTTTCTGCCATCTGGGGCCCTGCAATGAGCGCCAGCTCCCCCAGACTCTGTGCCCTCCCCTGCACCGCTCTTCTCTTCTCAGGGCTAACGGCCTCCAGGATGTGGATTGCAGAACCTGACTCAAGCTGACCATCCACTCTTCAAGGGTCCTTGAGCTATCTGGATGCCTCTCTGTGTGTGAGCACACAATCTCAGGTGTGGCTTAGATATTATAGAATATCAGGTCTGGAGTAGCACTCTCCATCCCCTCCCCAATTCTGGACACCATACCTCCATTAATGCAGCCTGAGACAGTGCCTAACTTGGCTGTGCCTCCAGCCACTCAGGACACCAAGTTTGCCAACAGTCAAAGCCTAGTGGGCAGGAATCTCCCTAGCTTCATTCTCTGGGACAGAAGATCTGAGAGTCTGGTGCTCCTTAAATCTGGAAAAATTCACTCCTGTTCTGGGCCCCTCCCATGCCCTCAGCAGTTCCATTGCCGTGTGAGGGGTTCACCCAGCAGCTGCTCAGCAGCAACCTCTGGCATTTCTCATCTGCCAGGTGTTCACCCAGACAATCCAGGAGTGCTCCCCTACAGATGGGAAAGCTGAGTCCCCAGAGAGGTTAGGGCTCTCTCTCAAGGTCACACAGCAGGCCAAGGCTGAGATGGGGTCAGCATTCATGACTGATATTTCCAGAATGTCTCTGCCTAGATTTGAGGCAGCTCTTTAGGCCGGAGAGGAAATTAGTTTTTCATGTACTCGACCAGGAGGAGGTAGGGGAGAGGGGACGAAACCCGGAGGAATCCAGTGAAACTCAGGGGGCGAGAGGCCTGTGTATTAAGCCCGGGGTGCTCTGAAATATTAATGTCCCTTTCTTTGCTCAAGGGAAAATGTTCCCTGGAGGATGACATTTCTAATTAACTTTAATGTTAGGTCAGAATCCACCCCACCAGCTGCTATTCTCACTTAGTAAGAAGACTTAACAAATTAACACCAGAAAATGGTTCTCTGGAAACTTTCTCTGAGGCCTGGAGAAGCTAGGGGAGGCGCAAGGCTCTTCTCTCCTGCCAAACATGGGAGAAGCTCCCGGCTGAGCCAGCATCTCCTCCATCAGACGTGACTTTTTATGTGTGGGGAAACTGAGGCAGGGAATGTAAACTGAGAATGGGGATCCCCATTCTGCCGTTAATAACCTGGATGTGCCCTTTCTCCTCTCCGGGCCTCAGATTTCCCTCTGTAAAAGGGGCATAGGTGAACAAAAATTCAAGACTTCACAAATTTTCCCATCCCGATCTCTCTAAAGCAGAGGATGAAGATTGTGCATGTGGGGCCTCACGAAGGCAATCCAGAGGCATCCCCCAGGTGGAAAATGTCTTTGACAGCTCACATTTTATGTTACTCATGCATACAAATTTTGTATTCTATTCCAAATATTTCTCTGTCTGTTTAACACATGAATATTTGCCTTATAATAAGCTTTGAGTAAAATTAATGCTCCAAGAAAATGTCATGTGGCTTCCTGTCAGTCAACCACAAGCTCCAGTTTGAAAAAAAGAAAATAAGATTTATTAAACAATTACCATGTGCCAAACACTGCGTAAGCACTTTATACGCAGCCTCTCATTTCATCTGCACGGCAATCCCCTGAAGTTGCTACTACTATCATCACCTCTTTACTGTTACGGAAACTGAGGCTCAGAGAGGTTGAGTAAGTTGTCCAAGTTCACCGAGCAAATGGACTCCAGGGAAGAAGCACAGAGCCAGCTCAACTCCATGGTCCCTGTCTGCTCTGAGACCAGGATTATGAGGCCACAACGAGTCTCCTCAAAATCCCAATCTTACCATTGGGACAGCAAGCCTCAAATATGGGGAATGTCTTAGAAATATCATGTCTCAGCCCACCACAGACCTATGGAATCAAAATCCACAGGGCCAGGGCCAAGAATGTGGTTAGAAAATCATACTTGACGAGCTTAGAATGCTGACCTGACCCTAACAGACAATTCTCCTTCACGACAATGTATTTGTAAAGGTTTTCACTAGTGCCATCATAGAAGACTGGTTTGCTCTGGTGTCAGGCTATGGTGATAGTGACCACCTCCCATCCCCCCAGCTGGGAATGACCAGAGAGGGACATACACGGGGCAGAGCCCATCTTCCCAGGTATCCTGGCAGAGTCTGGAGGCAGCCATGTGTAAATATGGCTGTCAGTAAATATGGTGTTCAGTGTGTGAAAACTGCCTTAAGCCTGAATTGCAATTGTGCAGAAATATTTGATGCTCTTTTTCCCATCATTATATTCTTTTAGAGGCAAGTTTTCTAAGCTCCTGAAAAGTATCTAAATTGGCACAGCTGAGTTCTCTCCAGGTAGACAGTGTCTTTCTAGATTTCAGAGACCCCCAGGCGTCTCAGACTCACAACCGAGCGTGGGATCCCCTCCACTCCCTGGTCTCCCTATCCTGGGGGAACGAGGAGGGCCTGGTGGAGGCAGAACCCAGGAAGGTCACTGACTCATCCAAGGATGTGGTGTCCCCTGAGCAGAAGTCAGCGCTCCATCCTCCCTCCTCCAACTCCACACACGCTTTGCACATGCCAAGGCCTCCAGAGCAGTGGTTACGAGCCAGGCCCTGGAGCCACGCTGCCTCCTGGGTTCAAATCCTTTTCTTTTTTTTTTTTTTGTTGTGAGGAAGATCAGCCCTGAGCTAACATCTGATGCCAATCCTCCTCTTTTTTCTGAGGAAGACTGGCCCTGAGCTAACATCCGTGCCCATCTTTCTCTACTTTATACGGGACGCCGCCACAGCATGACTCCACAAGCGGTGCGTCGGTGCGCGCCCGGGATCCGAACTTGTGAACCCCGGGCCTCCGCAGCAGAGTGCACACGCTTAACCGCTTGTGCCACCAGGCCGGCCCCATGCGTTCAAATCCTAACTCCACCCTTACAAGTTATGAGGCCTGGGGCCAGTTTACTGAGCTCCTCTGTGTCCTGGGCTGTAGAATGGGGTCAACCACAGCACCTACCTCAGAGGGTTGCTGTGATGCTCAGGTGAACATGAAGCACTTGGAACAGTCTAGCACACAGCAAGCATCTCATAAAACACAGCCGGTATTCCTATTTTTGTCATTATTTCCTCTCTTCCCGTCTGATTGCAGTTACCCGGGTATTTGCTCCCTCATCCACCTGAGGGCTTCTGGGGACTGCTAGCCGCTGGTTACAGTAACCCCCATATTTTGGGGTGCTCTTAGGCACTGTTCCCCATACTCTAGTCAACTGAACTTCCTGAATTTTTGCTTTCTCTTCCTTTACTATTATTACTTCCTGTTTTAAAAATCAACTCACTTAAAGAAATTCAAAAACACTTACTTCAAAAGGAAAATTTATACCACTACTGTACATTTATGACTTGAATATGTTAAATTAATTTTTTCTAATACATAACCTCTAAAATAAGAAAAGTCCATCCATGTACCACTAGGGGGCTGAGTAGCCCACATGGGGAAACAGCGCCCCGCAGCGTACCCAGTCTGTACTGAGCCAGAGTGAGGCTTTTTGCAGAGGAGCAGGACACAAGGTCGGCACTGGCAGTGAAGAGGGCCTGCCAGGAGGCCCAGGGGGCCCAGACATAGAAGGCAAGGCCCCCCCTACCTTTGGTGTCTTCATCCTCAATGGTGGTGTTGGTGCTCTCCGAAGATTCCTGCCAAAGAGAACAGGGGAGGCGGTGAGGCTGCCAGGCAGACAGGACAAGGCACGGCCAGTTGGGGGCTGCCCCTGCTGCCTGAAGCTGCGGCCCGTTTCTGTTAGCTTCACCGGCGCTTCGTTGAAATGCTGCACTGAAAACCCTGTCAGACTTCGAGCCTAAGGAGGAGGAGGGTCCAGCTAAGCAGGTGGCTGGTGGCGGGGCTGTGGATGGAGGGATGGATGCGAGGAGAACCCTGGCCTTTCTGGAAGGGCTGGGAGGGGTTCCTGGGCCCTCATTGCTCGAGGGAGCAAAGAGGGGGTGTGGGGGAGCAGAGAGGCACATGGCGGCCACAGAATGGGGAAGGAATACACACACCGGCAGGAGAGGAAGAAAGAGAGAAGGGTAGGCCCAGGGTGAGAGAGAGTGGGCTTTCCAGGGGGAGAAAAACCACACAGCTGACGGAGACAGCAATGGCATCAGAAGAAGAGGGACATGGGCCACCATGCCACCACCAGAACCCCTAGACAGAGGCAGGGGCTGGAGGCTCCTCTGCCACCGGCAGGCCCTGGGGAGCCTTGCAGAAGCTCAAGAAGGGCCTCCACGGCGCCCACTGCTTTGGCCAAACCACGCCCCCCGCTCGCCGCAACTGGCACAAACCAAGCCCTGAGATGAGTTCCAGAGCAGAGGGTGGGGAGAAGCGAGAAGCCAAGGGCTGGACGTGGGATGGGATTCAAATCGCCCTTCGCACCAGAGGGAGTTCTCAGGTCTGCTGTCAGGCTGCTGGTCTGGGCCGTGGAGTTGAGGTGTCAACAGAAACACGCAAACAACACGCACACACAACACACATATTGTCACACGAGGCACACGTACCAAGCACGCCCTGAGCACCCTCTCCCCGCCCCGGGTTCCCAGTGCAGCCTGCAGGAGGGAGGCAGGAGCGAGGGTTCGAGGCCCAGCATTTACCGGCGTCTGGGAGACGGCAGACACTCACCATTAACTGAACGCTGGAACTGGACTTTCTTTTCTGGAAAAACAAGGAGAAGAGATGGGACAGGAAAAGACACAGAGTGAAAACGGCAGGGAGCAGAGGAACGAACGACAGGGGAGGTTTGGAAGGAGGATGGGCCTCAGGGTCATCCTCTGTGGTCCCTTGCTGGCATGGCATCTGGGCAAGGAGTCAGGGCCACCAGCAACAGCTGGCCTGGCCAGGCCAGTCCTTTCTCAGTCTGAAGTCCTGGGGCCTCATGCACAGCTGCCTGGGTCTCACCAATCCAACCACCCAGCTCCAGGCCAAGCCTCCCTTGGACCAGGGCTCCCTCTACGCCAGGTTCTGATGGGGAAGCAAATCCTGGGGCTTGGATGCCAGTTGCCTAAGGCCTCCAGAATCCAAAGCTCTTGAAGGACAAAAGGGCACTTAGGTCTAGAGATGAGGCCCAGTGTCTCCTTCTAGACTTGCCCTGCAAGTGGGGTCTGCTGCAAGGACCCCACTCCTGGTTTGGTTGTGTCATAGTCACTTGGGAAACTTGTCAAAAATATGCATATCCAGGCCCCCTCCAAGCAGTTTGATAACTAGGTCTGGGGTGGGGCCTGGGCATCTCCATTCTATAAACAATCTCTAAAGCAGGTGATTCCAAAGCAGGGCCAGGTGTGGGAACCAGTCTTCTAGTGGCCTTTGAAATCCTGCTTATGTTCACAGCTTCCCAGTGACTGGCCTATTCAGCTCCTTTTTGCTGCTAGAGAAACTGAGGCACAGCCAGACACACAGCTGAGCCCAGAATTTGAGTCTCTGGCCCTACCATTCATCCTATTCTAGCTTAGGGGGATTTGTAGCTTCTCCTGTATTATTGGCAGTGGAACAAAGAGAAGGAGAGAAAGAGAGGACAAATGTAGATTATCTTCTCCTCTCAGATCTAAGCCAGGAGTCTTACAGACTCACATTCGTAGCAGGTGGCAGGTCAAGACTGACACTTGCATTGCACAGATGAGAAACTGGGGCCCAGAGATGGGTAGCCACCTGCCCAAGGTCTCTCAGCTAGCTGACAGCTGAGCGGGGCTGCAACCCCTGAGTGCAGGCTCTCTCCTCTGTCCAGGTCTCCAGGCACCTGCAGCCTGACTGCTCCTCAAAGGCTCGTCCTTCCTGGACGCACTTACAGCTGAGAGGCCAGGAGGCCTCTCTCTTCGCTGCACTGTCGGGGGAGCAGAGGAGGGACTTGAGATGCCCTCTGGGTAGGCCTTTGCCCGGGGGGCAGGGGAGCACTGGCTATTCTCGGAGGGTCAGGAGCCTAAGATCCTGTGCTCTCCGTCCAGGGCCTCCCCAGACGTGGCAGCGGTGGCTCACTGGGCACGTCCAGTGTAAGTGCTCACAGCCTCTGCATCTGCCCCAGCTGGGCCGGACAGTGTGACTTCCACGGCCAGCAGCCTGCAGTCAGCCCCTCCTCCCCTCTCCTCCTGGTGTCAGCCTCACTCTTGGCTGGACCTGGGCCAGCACAGTGTGTGTGGGAGGGGACAGGCCCACACAGCTCGGCTGTCAGCAGAAACCTGAGGAGCAGCGTGGGGGCCAGGAGGTTCCAGGCGGGACACGAGGAGGGAACACAGAGCAGAGACTGCATCAGATTCGGACGTACAGTGACAGGATGGGACATGGAGGAGAGAGGTCACGACGGCACGGATGGGACACCAACAGGGGTCAGTGAGTGGGGTTGAGGGGTGGGAGCAGTCGGCCCCTCCTCATAGAAGTCGGGGCCTAGCAATGGCTGGGAGGGGGCATCGCTTCTAATAGACAGACTCGATTTCCCTGAATCACAAATGATGTTGATACTGATAATAACCCCACCCTGACCAGCGTGTTAACCAGAGTTTAATTTACAAGGGACTTTCACCAAAGGTAGAGGCACACCTCTTAGAACCACGTGGAGAAGCACGGTTCTAAGGTTAGAAGGACGGTAGAAACGGAATGTGGTCAAAATTAGCCTTGAAAAGCCCGTAAAGTACAGTATCGTGTTATATCTCTAACTGCAGCCAGCCAGTTTTTCCTCCAGCCTTGAAACCAATCGTTGCTCCTTCAGTTAAGTCCCAGAAGAAATGGGTGGTTTGTCTCTAGGGACCAGGTTGCAGGAAGAACACGTATTTCTGCGCTTCAGCTGAATGCGTGTCAGTTAAAGGAGCACACGCTGCACCTCCACCAGGTCCCCTCTTGGGTGAGCCTCTCACCAGCCCCCACAAACGACTGCCATTCTCCCCTTGCACAGATGACAGAAATGATGACCTGGGAACGGTGGGGCCCAGACTCAAACCCACAGCTTCTTGACTTGAGGTCCAGTTTTACTCACGGTGAAAACATGACTGGACCCCCAGAACAACATGCTGCAGGCTGGGCTCCCCAGATCCCGGGCAAGGCCCCCTGGGTTACTATCGTCCTCCGGCCGGACTTCTCCCGTCCTCCACCCCAAAGAAGTGAAGGAAGCTGAGCTACAGAGAGACAGTCTGGCCAAGAGCAGCCTTTGAGCTTCTCTTCATCCACACCCAGGCCACCCTGAGAAGTCACTCAAGGCCTGTCCTGCGCCGCAGGAAGCAGCCACACCTTCTTCAGCTGCGCCCCCGGGAAAGCCCTGCAGAGATCAGCCAGGGCCCCCCCACGCCATGAGACGTCCTTGCCCTCAGCCTCCGCCTCCTGGCCTCATGAGAAGCTCCCAAGACCCAGCCTGTGGGAGGCCCTGGCCTCACACCCAGTGGCTCTTCGCCTTGCCAGGGCCACACCTGAGAGCCAAGCAGCCTGGGGCAGCTCTCCCTCTGCCCCCTCCTCCTCCGATGACCTGGGCCACAGCCCACCAGCAACTGTGGCCTCTGCCCCATGCCCCAAATATGATTTTCCCAGGAACCCAGCACCCCCAATGTCTACTAGGGCCAGAGAGGACCCCAGGTGCCCCACATTGCATATCCCCCCATTACCCTTTCAAATTGGGGAGGAGGAGTTTGGACTCATGGATAACCCAAGACAGCAGGTGAGCCAAAACTCAATTCTGGATTCCAGTACAGGACTCGGGATGAGTGCGTATTAACTTTATAAACTGAGTTGCCTTTAGATCGGTGGTTTCCAAATATTTTCTGAAGCAAACTTTGTTTTCAAGGGAAATCTTAGCCAAAAGTCCGCTATATAAAACAGAAAAGATAATAACACTGACTAGCACCCCATGAGCGTGTATCACACGCCAGCGCCGTGCTAAGCCCTCAGCATACTGGATCTCAGGTCATCCTCACAAACAGCCCTGGGAGGCGGGAACCCCTTTACTCCCATTGCTTGAATGAGGAAACAGAGGCTCAGGGGATTCAAATAACCAGCCGAGGCTCTCGGAACCACCGCCATGGCTGTCACATGGGGCTGCTCTGGTAGAAGTGGGCATGAGAAGCCCAGACATTCTCTGTTCAGACTCCCCCATTCTAATCCCACCCCACCCCATCTGCTGCCACAGCTGCCTCCCCAGAACCTTTGGGCTCCAAGGAGTTCAGTTTGGAAACCAGTGACTTTGGCTGATAACCAAATAACTCTGTATTCCTCAAGCACCCAAGATGAGAGGGGAGAATGATTAGACAGGGTTTTGGTGTGTTTTTTTTTTTTTGCTTGTCTGGTTTTAAAGCTGAAATCTTAGAAATCATGGAGTCCACACCCCTCCCACCTCACCGATTGTACCTGTGGGGAAACTCAAGCCCCCAGAGGGCTAAGAATAGAGAGGAGGCCCAAATCCTGGCCTCAGACAGCCAGCCCAGATCCCCTTCCACAAACCCCTGGCAGACCAAAGCCAGCATAAATGCCACTACAAACGAAGCCATGAAGCCACCAGCCCACCTAGGTGGCTGTGTTTGGACAGCGTCCCACACTTCAGTGTCCTGGGCACAGCCCACCCCTGCGGCCCTGGCCACGCAGGGCTCTGAGCCCAGAAAAAGGCAGGGTCTCAAGAGAGGAGAACCCACAAGGCAAGCCAGTGGCAGGGGAGGAGGGAGCTGCAGACAGCGGGGTAGCAGGCCCCAGAGAGCAGAGGGAGAAGAGAGAGCAGGGAAGGAGGGGTCAGCGGGGCATGGAGGGAAGTAGCTCGGGCATCAGAGGTGGGGACAGAGGGCCGGCCTGGGGAGGAGGGGACTGAAACAGCAGGCCTTGGTGGGGAAGGGGCACCTCTGGATCCCAAAGCCGAGAGGAATGTCTGTCCATCCTTCACAGGCTTTGTGGGTTGGACTGGGGTGTACCTTGGGTCAGGGGCCCACTCCAGCTAGGCCACACTCGGGAAGGAGGAGGTCACCCCTCATGATCATCTCTGTCCCTTCCTTGCACCCTCTCGCTCACAGGTCCTCCAGTCCGAGAGAACCACAGAAACCTCCTTCGGACCGGCCCCTTTCTTTGTGCCCACCCCAATCCCAGGCCACCTGCATCTCCCACCTGCTTTCAAGCCTTCCCCTCCCCCACATGCCCTCACCAATCCTGGTGAGATAGTGGGCACCAAAGCCTGGGTCTCTCTGTCTGGGGACGGCCGGGCTGTGCAGGTGACCACATCTGCCCGGAACACCACCAGCAAGGCCTGGGTCTTGCCCCAGCCCTGAAAGCCAGGCCCTGCTGGCGGAAACACTGCCAGAGGCCGGCCCTGCCAGGCTTCCGGGGGCTTACCTTCACACCATCGTTCTTCTTGTTTCCTCCACTCTTCCCTCCTGCGGAGGAGAGAAAGTAGAGGGTTACCAATACCAGGCAGGGCACCAGGGCCCACAGAGTGAGGACGAGCAGCATCCACGGGCAGCCGGACGGCACGGAGCCGGCTCAGTGATTCTGGGGAGACCTCCTCCTTCTGCTCCTCCCTCCTCCTCGGTGGCCCAGGTCTGCCGGTGCCCGCTAGGTGGGCCTGGGCTCCCCTTCTTCTCAGCAATCTCAAGTGTGACCCTCTGGCTCCATGGGTTGAGGGAGGTGCCCGACGTGTCCCAGGACCGTGGGGTTGCTGTTTCAGCCCAGGGATTCCCTCTGGAACCCAGTCACCAGCCGTGCTGGTGGTAGCCAGCCCGGAGGCCCGGCTGCCCGGCTCAGGGCTGGACGCTCCCTCCCTACCCTGGCCCATTCTAATTTTAGCCCCATGCTTCTGCAGAGGTCATGTGTCAGCCCTGCCTACTCACTCTGGACAGCTGCAAGCCGCGTTTTGCCAGTGACAAGAAGCAGATGCCCCCCTCTGGGGCCCATCCTTGTCAGAGCACCCATCCCCTACAGAGGCCTCCCCATCCTCAAATTCCTGAGCCCCACGCTGGGGCTGGCTGTGTCCCTGGTAGCCAGGAAAAGCAGAGCGACAGCCTTCAGGGAGACCCCATTTCTGTCACTCCCCTTTCCCTCCCTCCTCACCTCCTGGCCAGAGCCCTTAGAGAGGGCATCACCCAGGAAACAGTATGAACGCCCAGCCCTGCCCAGCCTGAGCAAATGCCTTAAGTTAAATGAGACAGAGTATCTATAAAGTGCTTAGCACTGCATTTGACCTCTAGGCAGTAGATGTTCCGGAAATGGCAGCCACTGTAAGTTCTTCTCCTGGTGGCCTGGAGAGGGTGAGCTGGGGTGGAGGGGCAGTACAGGACATTGATGCCCCAGAAGCTCAGCGGGGTGGGGCTCAAGGCTGGTCCAGCTTCCCAGTCACCCTCACATTTCCACCTATGACCCCTTCCAGGCTCTCATCCAAAGTTTTCCTCTTGCAAAGCAAGTGTGGGGTGGGCACCTCTGGATCCCAAAGCCAAGAGGAATGGCTGTCCATCCTCCATGGGCTTTGTGGGCTGGACTCAGGTATACAGCAGGGCAGGGGGAGTGCTCGTCCTCGAGCCTCAAGAGGGTCCCTCTCAGCTCCAGCCCACTATTGCAGGACTGTGGGTCCTATGAGGCCACACGTTCTGATTTTCAAGAGAAAACAGAAATCTGGGCTTTTTTATGAGATCTCCTGGTTTTTAACTGCTGGAAACTCTTTCCAAAAAATTTTTTTAAAACACCACTGGCTCCCCAAGCCCATCTAGAGATGGGAACTGACCCACGGGCACCATTTTGTGAGCTCTGGACTAGAGTTCTCTAAGGGTGCTTCAGTTGTTAAAAAAAGACTCTGACTGTCCTGGTGGCTCATCTTTCAGGTTAAGGAACTGCAGGATGCTTATCTGGGGAGAGAGTGGGAAGGCAGTTCAGTGCAGTGGGGAAAGCCCAAATCTGGAGTTCTAGGGTTCTCCCACCTCTGGGTCTCATTTGTCCAGCAGGTTAAATGGGCAGGTGGATCCTCTCAGTGAAGCCAGGGCTGTAGCTTCCCAGAGCCACCACCTTGCTATGGGGCCGGCCATGTGTCCACAGCAGCCCTCTCTGGCTGGCCCCAGCCCCAGGCAGAGGGCCCCTCAGGTGAGCTTTGCTATATCTGCTCAGCTGCCCCATCAGCCACCCTGGGCTCCCCAGAGACGGGCCTCTGGCGGCACTGGCCCCGGCACTCTCCCACCTGCCAAGGGGAGCTTCTTGCTAAGCCCTGACGCTAATCCCTTCCCCTTCTCTCTTCAGGACCACATGCCACAAGTCACTGGGCACTCCTCGCCTTCACCAGCCCGGCTTCGGCCAAGACCAAAGGCTCCTACTCCGGTCTCCCTGCTGACCCAACTGGTTAAGGTGACCCAGCTCTGGGCTGGTCAAACCTGTGCTAAAGCAAACTCTGCCTCCCTCTAGCAGTGCGGGCTGGGGGAGGTCAGAGTTCACCTCTCTGAGCTTCAGTTTCCTCATCTGGAAAACAGGGATGGCCAGAGCCCCCCACCGCCTTGTCACGAAGGCCACCTGAGCGAAAGCATGGAGACTACTCAGCAGGGGGCTCCAGTAATGTGGGGAATGGGAATACTGCTACTCCCCGGGCCTGGCTCAGGCCCACCTGGACCTGTACCCCAATATTTGGGAGGCCTTCCCCTCTGGCTGGCCCAGCCTGAGAACCCCAGCAGGGCTGTGAGTTGGAGGAGACAGACTAAACCTCTAAGCCTTCCTAGTGGGCCCTTGGCTTGCTGACCTTTGACCTTTCTCCACTTCTGGGTGCAGGTTTGCATCAGGGGAGCTAAGCCCCAGTCACAGGGTCCTCTGCAGCCCCCACTCTCCCCAGGTCCCCTGGCCCGAGGGTACCCAGATATCCAACAGGGCAATGTCGCCACCTCCTGCAGGATGTTTTTGGGACTTTGAGGTCCCACCACCTACCAGAGAAGTTCCTGGTGGCCAGCATAGTGGTGAGGATGGCTCCCTGCAACAGAGAAGCAGAAGGGGTGTGCGGGAGAGGAGGCCGGAGGTGACGGGGGAGAGGAGAGACAGACAAACGGGAGGGGAGTGGGGAAAGAGAGGCAGGTGCTCCATTCAGACACAAAGCCAAGGCCTTCTGTTCCTGCCCCTCCACTTGTTCCTCAGCCCACAGCCTGGAGACTACCCCTGCCTCCCTGGAGAAGTCTAGGTGAGCCAGGCCTCAGCTGGCACGGCTCCGATGACAGGGCCCTCCTAGGAGCAGATATTAATAGGTTCCACCGGCCTGGCCAGAGCTGGTGAAAGGGCTTGGGGACACCTGTCAGTGGGGGCTCCCAAAGGCCAAGGAAGTTTCCTGCCTGGGCAAGGACGGTAGACCCTGTGCCCCTCGGCCCCTCCCAGTCTCCGCCCTCTGCCCCAGGCACTCAGCACCTGGCTGCAGCATTAGTTCAGCCCTCCGTGGTTCCTGGGCTCAGAACCCTGAGTGTTAATGTGGAAAAACCCTCTTCTGTCAACGAGGGGCTGGGGGACGACGGCCCTTCTGGTTCTGACGCTGTCTGATTTGGTCGTTCTGAGTCTGACAGTCCATGATTGTAAGAATCCCTGATTCCAACATTTGAGACTTCCTCCATGACAGCTCCCACTGGCGTGGCGGTGGGACTCAGTTCTCCTGGCATCGTGTTGGCTACCACGCCCGGGCCCGTGTCCTCGTCCTGAGCCTCCATGCCAGGCCTGGGAGCAGCAGACGAGGAGGTTCTGGATGAGCCAGGGCCTCACCTTCCATCACTCAGCATGCTGATGGCTTCTCTGTTCTGACCAGCGGGGGACCCCTTGGTCGCTCTTCCTACCTGCTCATGGGGCCCCTGGCAAGGCCTAGGTCAGGAGCTGTCATGGCCCTGAGAACACACAGCACATGCTGAGAGGCCGGCAGCTAGAGCCCACCTGGGTCCCACTGTGGCTCCCTCAGGGCCACAATCCCTATCCAGGTCTCTCGGCCGTTCCTTTCCAGCGCTCCAGCTGGGGCCTCTCACCCCACCATGGTCTCCTGCCCAGTTATGTGTCACGCCCTGAAACCTCTCCCCAGCCAAGCTGACACACTTCCAGTCCCCCTAAAGGGTCTGCACAGGAAGCTCATGCTTCCAGACTTCTGCACAGGCTTCTCTCTCTGTCTGGAACACCTGCCACTCTGACTCTACGCTGCTGATACCTGCTCATCCTTCGGGCTTTCAGCTCAAATGCCACTCGCCCAGGAAGGCTTCCAGGATCCTCCCCTGGTCCTTCTGGACCTGGTTCCTGGCCCTGCTATGTGCTCCCACAGCCTTGGGGCGTGCGGTCACAACACTCACCACTGCCCCGTAATGTCCTGGGGTACTTGTCTGTCCTCTCCACTGCTCACTGCCCAGCCCAGACAGCAGTGGTCAACAAGCGCTTGTTGACTCAATGAAGGAAAGAACTAGTGAGCAGGGCTCTCGGCCGCTGTGGAGACCCAGGCCAAGCTACTCCCACGTCCGGGGGGCATGGAGGGCGAGGACCCGTTACCTTTAGTTTTCTCCTGGCGTTGAACTTCTTCAGGCAGTCCACGGTCTCCTGTCTGTGCATGCAGGAGGCCACGGTGGACCGGTGCTGGGGGAAGAAGGGGAGAGGTCTGTGAGCGGAAGGCAGGCCTCCCCCAGGGCCCCTCAGCAGGGTGTCTTATGAATGTGGTTGGCATCTTGGGAGGAACAATTCATTGTTCTAGGGGATGTTGTAAACATCGCAGGTGCTTAGCATTCCTGGACCAGATGTTCAATGCCAGTAGCATCCCTGGTCATGATGCCAACCCAGAACACTTCCCATTTCCACTTTCCCCTGAGAGCAACAGCAGGGTCAGGGTCTCTTGTATTAAGCCCCCTCGGCCCCATGCTGGGGCCAGGGGCAGGGCCAGGACTCCATGAGGACATTAACCCTGAGGTCTGGAGGCCCCCTGGGAAGGGTCCAGCTGCGGCTGGCTCACCGAGATCCAGGGGTGCTTGAGTGCCTCGGCGGCCGTGATGCGTTTGGATGGGTTGATAGTCAGCATCTTGTTGATCAGATCCTTGGCTTCTGGGGTGACGGTGTCCCATTCTGGTGACGGGAACTGAAAGGGGCAGAGGGGCCAGGTTTGCCCAGCCTACCCCAGGCCACCCCTGCGATCCCCCAGCCCCTGACTGGCAGGGGAGCAGGCAGGGGTCCTACTGCCCGTCCACTTGGGCATCGACAACCAGGAGGAGTTGGGGCAGGTCCCCTGACCCCAGGACAAATCAGAACCTGGCCAGGGGGAAAGGAGGCCTCCCTCTGCTGTTCTGAGGCTGTGCCCTAACTGGAGAGCAGTGGGCCAGTGGCTATAGGCCAGACTTCAGAGTCAGAAGGCTGGGTTCAAGTCCTGGCTCTGCCTCCTGAGCTGTGTGACCTTGGGCAAGCCACGTGACCCCTCCAGCTGTCTCTAGAGATGCCGTGAGGATTAACTATGACATAAAACACATGGCACACAGCTTGATAGATATCAGCCATGCAGAAAAGCAGTCCAGCTTGGTAGTTAGAAGCATGGACACCATGACTGCCTGAGTTCAAATCCTAGCTCTATTGTTTCACAGCGACGTGATGGGGACAGTCATTTAACCTCTCCGTGCCTCAGCTTCCCCTTCTGTAAAACGGGGATACCAACAGTACCTATGCCATAGATTGGTGTGAGGATTAACTGTAATAATACGTAGACAGCATTTAGAAGAGTGCTATACAAGTGTTAGCGATTATTATTATTTGTATACATATATTTGTGTATATATATAGAAGAGGGAGACAGAGAGAGAGAACCTGGCTTCTGGGGCCTGCGCCCCCACCTCTCGCCCCACTTTGGTGCTGCTTCTGCTCTCTGGGGCCCTATGGGCTCAAGCCCATCACTTAGAGGCCCCAGTCATTAGGCACGCCCAGCTTGTCACCTGGCCCCAGTCAGTCCTCAAGTTCCACCTGCCAATCGCCCTGCAACTAGAGAGCAGCAGGGAGGCCTAAGAGGGCTGGGGGAGCAGGAGGGAGGTGTCGTCAGGTCCCTGACCTCACTGGGCATTGGCTTTCACAGGAAGGGGCCCAGGGGATGGCAGGGAGGCCGGAGACAGGAGTGACACTCACATCATAGGCGCCGGCTTTGATCTGCTGGTACAGGCGGTGCTGGTCTTCATCCCAGAATGGGGGATACCCAACCAGCAGGATGTACAGGATGACCCCTAGGGAGAGGACCAGGAGACACTTCAACCGTCTGTGAGGAGGAGCAATGGGAAAGGAGAGAGAGGGTACCAGCGGTGTAGGCGGCCGGGAGGATAAAGGGGCCTTGGGATGGACTCACCGCAGGCCCACAGGTCCACAGGCTTCCCGTACGGATCCTTCCGCAGCACTTCTGGGGAGAGGTATCCAGGTGTTCCTGCGAACCCTGCTCCCCAGACACACAGACAGGCAGACACACACACAGAGGTTGGTAAGTAACCCGGAGCGAGAGCCTGCTGGAAGAGGGATAAGGGTTGCCCTGGAGTTGGGGAAACACCCCCTGTCCCCCAGAGCGGGCCAAGGGCAGGAAGCCCTGGCCTGGTAAGCCAGCAACACCTCTAGACCAGGGGGGACAAGTACATAGTACACCTGTCACCACCCCCACTCCAGGGCCTTTGGCAGAAGTCATTGATCAGTCCCAGAGACCTTCCCACGGAGTCCTGGCTCAGCGTCATAAAATTCTAGCATGACCCTCCCAGCAGCCACTACCAAGCAGTGGCTGGTGGCACCAGAGAAGAAGTGTCCTTGTCATGTCACTCCAGGCTCGGCTGAACCCTTTCCCACTCCCCACCCCTTCCAGGAGCTGGTGCTGGGATGGCAGGAGGCCCGGCCTTAACTCTGGCTCTGCCCTAAGTCCCTTGGGTAGGCCTCTTTTCCTTCTAGGCCTCAGTTTCCTCATCTGTCAAATGAGAGATTAGGGATTCCCATCTTAAAAACCTCCTGGCATTGTTGGGAGGATCAATTGAAAAATCAGACACTGAAAGTATTTTAACAAGTAATCATAAGAATAGTTCCTATGTATTGAGTGTGTGCTAAGCAGGGCTGAGCACTTCCTCTGCCTGATCTCATTTAATCCTCATACAGCCCTGAAAAACATCCTATTAGTGTCTCCATTTTACAGATGAGGAAATGAAGGCTCAGAGAGGTGAAATGATGCACCCAAAGTCACACAGCTCGTGAGTAGCAGAGTCGGGATTTGAACCCAGAGCTCTGGTTCTTAACCACTGATCAATACTGCACACTAAAGAGTATCCCCACATGGCTGAAGGGACTCAATGACGCCAAAAGCTCAGAGCACGCTGGGTCACATGAGTGTCAATCCCAGCTCTACCCCTTTTAATCTCCCTGGACCTGTTTCAAGTTTCTTGGCCTCTGTTCCTCATTTGTAAAATCAGGGTAATAATCTCCATCTCCCAGGCTGTTAGGGGAACCCAGGGAAGCCCCTAGCCAACAGCGACGGTGTGTGCCTGTGAAGAAGCCATGTACTGATTTAATGATAACTGTGTCCCTGCACCTGGCTCCCCAGGAGATAGGATGGGCAACACCCATGGACCCAGATGCTGGGTGGGGTGGGACCTTTGCTCCCTGGGCCCTGGCTGGTGCAACAGCCATCTCCAACCTGCCCCTGCTCGGGCAGAGAGTTCCTAGATCCCGCCGTTTCAACACGAGGCTGGCCCCCACACCCCTGCCCCCCCCCCCCCAACTCACCGAACCACGCCTGCTGCTCCCCCTCCACCTCGATGGCCAGGCCAAAGTCCGCCAGCTTCACCGCGGCGCCCTTGAGCTTGGAGGCCAGCAACAGATTCTCCGGCTTCCCAGCACCAGAGAGAAAAGGGAAAAGGGGGAGGGAAGGGCCAGAGGACAGTGAGCAGATTCAGAGCCTCACCTCCAGGGGCCTGGGCTTCCAAGAGGAGCAGCTCGACAATCCAGGGGTGCCCTGCCCCCACCTCCAGCCCCAGTCACAGGACCCTGAGCTTCAGTCCCCAGAAAGGGGACTATCCCACTGCAAGTCCTCCGTTTTCTGCAACAGGAAGACCCTTCCTCCATCAGCCATCTCCTCCTTCCCCTCCCCTCAGGTCTGGGCTGGGGCTGAGGTGAGGGTGGGGGTGGGGAGTGGAGGGACAACCACAAGCACAATAAGGAAAAAGAAGCAACATTTATTGTGGACCTACTATGTGCCAGCCACAAGGGTTTTTCATACATTGTATCATCAGCCCTTTGGGGTAGAGAATGGTATCATCCCCACTCTCCACTGTCGCCTTCTTACAGCCCCTGAAACAGTCACGCTTGTTCCTGCCTCAGGACCTTTGCACTTCCTATTCCCGCTGCCTGATTTGCTCTCCCTCTGAGCTTCACAGGCCTGGCCCCTTCTCCTCATCTGGCGCTTACCTTCATGTCACTCCCTCCAAGAAGCCCTCTGTGACTACTCTATCTAAAGGACGGGCCCCCAGGTATCCTCTGTCTTAGCTCCTTGTTGTTACCTTCATAGATCTCATCACAATTTGTGATGTTTTTCCTCATCTGTCTGTGTGCTTGGTCATTATCTGTCACCCCTGGAGAATGTGGGTTTCTTATCTGTCCTGTCCACCACTGTACCACCAGCACCTAAGACAGTGGGCAGCACATAGCAGGCACTTAATAATTATTTACTACATGTATAAAGATGAGGAAACTGAGGCTCAGAGAGGTTAAGTGACTAGATGACGATCACACAGCTGGTAACTGATAGAGCCAGAAGCGAGGCAAAGTCTGGCTCCAGAGCCGTGCCCTCAACCACTTTAAGTCGAGAGATAGGGGGCCTCGTCCGTGCCACCTGGCCTCTGGGGCATCGAGGCTGCTGTCTTCTGCTGGGTCCGGAGGACAGGAAATCCCCTTCCTCCAGTGTGGACTCTCCAGTTAGATAGCCCCGGCTACTGATTTTAGTGCTGCCACTTCTATGCTGTGGAACTTGAGCGAATTATTTCACTTCTCTGAGCTTTAGCTTCCTCTCAGAAAAATGGGGATAACGCCTCCCTCATGGGGTGGCATCGGATTGATTGCAATAATCCATGTAAAGCGCTTCGCGGGGGCTACAGCAAGTGCTTAATACGCATCAGTACTCATATTTTCTGCTTTGGGGGCTCCGAGTCTCTGGAGACAGCTGGTTTCCTTTGATCCCCTTCCCCATGGGACTTTCGAGGGGTCTCACAGCTGACCTTCCACTGCCCAAAGCTAGGCAGGATGCAAACAAATATAGCTCTGTCTGCCCCTCGTTAAGGCCTCTTTTGTCCTGGGGGACTGTGTTCCCAACGTGTCCTGGGTCTCAGTCGCCGTCCTGCCCTGATTTGATGAATGTGCCACTAATTAATCTATCCAAAGTGGCCTAAATTTGTGCTGCCTCTCCTCCTTCCTCCTCCTGTGCTGGGGCTGCAGCTATAATGGGAACAGGCCCTCGGGGAGAGCCGCCCTGGTCTGACCAGAGACACTCCTCCAGCACACACTTGCCTGTGGGGCTAGACTGAGCCACAGCGAGCTCACCTGGGCTCAGGGAGGAGCCACGGACTGTTCGTGATAGTCAGAGGTGGGCAGGGCTTCTGGTCAGAGCATTGCACCCCAAAAAGGGACCTGGACCAACTGGAGGATGCCCGGGAAGGGTGCCCAGGATGAGGAGGGCCTGGAAATCCTATCCTGGGTGGCAATGGAGGAGAACAGCCTGCAGAAGACTTAGGAGCTACAACAAAGCTGCTCCAGGGCCGCTCTGAGGTGAAACCTTGATCTGTGTAGCCCCAAAGTGTAGAACTGGGGTTCCTGGGCAAAACCCGCACAGCAGGAAAGATGGAAGAAGCATTTCCCAATGGTGCAACGGGCTACCCCTTAAGAAGTGAGTTCGTAGTCACTGAAGGCCAAAAAGTAGAGGTTTGACGGACACCCAGCAGGGTTACCTGGAAGGGGCTGCTGCAGAAGCAGGAGCTGGGCTGAGTGGCTTTTTGGCCCCAGACCACCCAGAGCATGGGACGTGGGGTTAGAAGGCCTGGGCTCCAATCTTAGCTCAGGCACAGCTGAACTGCATGTTCTCAGGCAAATCCCTCGGACTATTCAGGCCTTAGTTTCCTGCTCTGCAACATGGGGGTGATGTTACGAGCTACCAGCAGCTGATGCCATGAGGCCCAGCAAAGGAGAGCCGTGAAGTCTGTGCTGACCGGGCAAGGTCGTGCGGCTGGTGCCAACCCTAGACTCCACATCTGCTTAGTCCTGTCCATCTCCTTCTTCAAGTGAGAAGAGGAAGGACTCCCCCAAGGCCTGTTTTTCCTCTCCTCCACCTGCCAGAGACCCGGAAACAAGAGTAACAACATGTCTGTGTACCAGGCACTTGTGCTGTCTCCTTTGATTTCCTCACCAAGCCTGTGCAGAGGTTGCTATGGCAACCCCCACTGTAAGGAAGCTGAGGCCGTGCAACTAGAAAGTGGCCTAGCTGGGATCTGGACCCTGCCACAGCCAATCTTGGCAGTCTAACTGCATCCTACCTGGCCAGGCACAAAGCACGTGGGGCTGGGAGTCAGGGGACCTGGGTCTCGAGCCCAGATGCTCAGCATCCCTGAGCCCACTCTCCCCATGGGAACAGTGGGGGAAATATTCCCCACCCAGCCCAACTCAGGGAAATTCAAGGGATTCTGGTAATACCCCTGGCTCCACAGGTGGAGGGAAAGGCAGGGGCAGAGGGGCAGGCTCCCTGTGCGCCACACCCTCGGGCGCGTTGCTCACCTTCAGGTCCCGGTGCACCACCCCCATCTGGTGGCAGTGCAGCACGGCCTCCAGGATCTGCTGGATACAGTGACTGGCAAGAGAAAGGAAGGGGTCACCACGTGAGGGCAGGCCCCCCGCCATGGGGAGCCGGGCGAGATGCCCTGTCCCCGGGCGCCACTGCCAGGCCACACCTGACACTCACCTGGCATCAGCCTCACTGTAATACTCCCGGGCCACAATGTCCTCAAACAGCTCCCCGCCGGTGACCCTGGGGAGACAGGCACGGAGTCACCCTCCCACGGGGGCCCTGGCCAGCTAAGGGCAGGGCCCAGCGACCTCAGAACCTCAGCCCCAACAGGAAGGACCCCAGGGGTCATGGAGATGCCCCCAGCTACAACCCCTTCCTGGCTTCCAGCCCACCCTCCACTGACTTTCCTCCTCTCCATCCTGGCTCCTCTCCCTCTCGGGCCCAGGCTGTCACTGGGACTGGAGGTGGGGCACTCAGAACTCATCACTAGGATTCATCAGGCTCCTGGAGCCCAAGGGCTGGGGTTTTTTGTTTTTTAACAGACTATTTTTTAGAGTAGCTTTAGGTTCGCAGCGAAATTGAACAGAAGGTACAGAGATTTCCCATATACCTCCTGCCCCTCCCCCATTATCAATGTCTCAAGAGCCGCAAGATGAGATCAGTGTTGTCACTGAGCTCCCCTGCCAGTCCAGGATACCCCGAAGCCCATCATTTCATTATTGCTTTTCATTCAATCAACTGGCTTTAAAAACTTTAAAATGATTCCAAAAGGAAACTTTATATTGCTGTCAGAAATGGAACACGAGCATCACTGGTCACAAATAGAAACAAAACTAAATATACAACACTACGGTGAAAGTTAAAAGTGTGTGTTGGTGCTGCAGGAAAACAGACCTGCACTGCTTGTGTGGCAGGCCGACCACATTTTGGGAAACTCTATATCAGAAGAGGGGATTCAGCCCAGCCTGGGGGCATCTGGGACCCCTCAGGCCAAGAGACCCAGAGACCACACCCATGCTCAGGGTGCCCCGATACCCACAGTACATCCCAGGGAGGGCCCAAACTCACAGGTCGAAGATCAGATAATGGTGTCCCTCCTCGGAGATGCTGTCATGGAGCCGGACTGAGGAAGGACGGGGCAGGAGTTATGCCCAGCACACTGCTCCCCACCCCCGCCCTCCCTCTCACTCCTCGAATAGCCAACATTGCAATTTCTCAGACAGTCGCTGAGCACGAGCTAGGTACCAGTTGCTTTGACAAACGGAGGTGAACAGGGACCCATTGACCTTGGGCGTTGCCAAAAGACGCCTGGGCTTAAATACTACAGACCCCTGTTTTGGTCAAAGTTTGGTCCCCTCCCCTCCCCAACCCTCAGTTTCCTTGCTGAGCAGGCTGGCGTCATGGAATGAGCTTGTGGCTCAAATCTCTGCTACTCCCTGGCTGTATGACTTCCGGCAAGGTGCTACGCCTTTCTGAGCCTCTCTTTCCTTGCCTGGACAGTGAGAATAAGACTCCTGGACTTGCGGCTTTGTTGTGAGAATTCCATGAGGCACACAGTCGGTGCTTACTCAGTGCTGGCCCTGAGCTAATATCCCTGCTCTGTTTCCAGGTCTGAGGAGATAAGAGAGCCGCTGGAGGCGGGAGTGACAGCGGTCCCTGAGTTGTGACGTGCTGAGAAACTGTCATCTCTTCATAGCTCATTTACCAAGAACAGAGGCAAGGCTCCCAGGAGCCCGGAGCTCCCCAAATTACTCTGGAGCTTCTGAAAGGAAGGGCCTGAGGCCTGGGGCTGACTCTGGGGGCCCGCACCCTGCCAGCCAAGGGCAAGTTCTCCCAGGACACGTTCACATCCTTCCCTGTGTCGCAACCTAATAATGTCCCCAGAGAGGGGTGCAGGCCTGCAGAATTCTGATACATCGCACAATGGAAAATTACACAGCTGTTAAAATACTGCCGCAGTTATGTAGCCACTGGTTTGGAATCATCTCTCAATTATGCTGTTTGCCGAAAAAGCAAAATGCAAAACAGTGTATGCAGTACTTTTTTAAAAAGATGTATTTCAGCCTGTATGTGTCCTAAGTCTCTCTGGAAGGATACAGAGATGTGGGCACCGGGGTTGCCTTGGGGAGGGGAATTGGGGGAGCAGGGGTCGTGGGTCAGTGAGACTTACTTTTCACTGTAAACCCTCATGCCATCTGAATTTGTGCCATGTACATGTATTTCTGACTCAAGACTGAGTCCCCTAAATTGCTTATGGCTCTCATATCTGCACGTAAAGTTGGGAGAAGCAGGCATCAAATACACCAGAGTGGGTCCCCACGGGAGGGGAAATGGGGACCAGAGACGGAAGATGGAGGGGACACAAATTTAAGGAAAAATTTTTTTAAATTCTTCAATGATGATAGATATTTATAAATAATGACTGAAAGACGTTTTAAAGCAAAACTAAAAAGCAGGTCACCTAAGAGTATATGTAATATAATCCTGCTTTAATTTTTTACCAACATTTTATCATAAAATTTCAGACAGAAGAGTGACGTCAGCGTCAAAAATTTCAAACATACAGTCAAGTAAAGACTCAGGTGCTCACCACCTAGATTCTATCATTACTGTTTTCTTATACTTGTTTTATTACATTTCTATCCATTCTTCCATCCATTAATCTATTTTAATATTTTAATGCATTTCAAAGCAAATGCAGGCCTAATTTTTTCAATATATATGTGTATTGAGTGGGGCATCCTGTGTTTTTTGTGTGCGGAATCTGGCAGCCTCACATTGGAGCCCTGCCAGACCCCCTTTAGTAAGATGGTGCAGCCATCCTGCAGCTGCTGGAGGTTGGCTGCTAACAGCTCACGGTTGCCCGCCTTTTCTGGAGAGTTGTCCGTTGCTGATAGAGGCACCCCACCCATGACGTTACCTACAGCCTTCAGCCAATGACTGACTAACGTATGGGAGGCAGGGCTGGTGCAAATGTCCAGTCTCTTTGCCTTAAGGAAGAACAACTCCAAGATGGGATTTACGCTCCAGAGGCTCCCCATTGCACCCCCCACCTGGGATCAGGTCAAAGGTAGACTTGACCTGAGGCCACATCCCAGCTGGATACCTTCCCCTTCTCTATACTGCTTCATTCCATCCCTTACAGGTCTCCGTGGGGAGCATACCCTCAATAACTCACAAGCACCTGAACCCTGCCTCAGGCTCTGCTTCTAGGAAACTTGACCTGAGATGATAATATGCATAGGTGTACTTGAGAAGGGACAGACATCAAATATCATATGACAGCTTATATCATACAATGTTAGCTCTAGATCTGAGGTTATAGGAGATATTTTAACAATTATTTGTCTTCTCATTTATCTGCAATAAACTTGCATTATTAGTGTATCAAGATAAAGTTTTGAAAAAGACCCTTTCCTCTCCCTGCCTGCCTCCAAGCAGACTTTTGGGGAGTGGCCTCCTTCCCATCTACTCTGCTCCAGGTGAGTTTTTAACTTTCCTTTCCTGAGTGTGAAAAGCTCTAAGAAGCCAAGCTGCGGCCAGAACCATCTCAGGAAGGGCTTTTAGAACCAGTCAACAGCCATTTGAGAGAGGCTCCAAGAAGACTGGGGTCGCAGATCCACCCTGATCAGGAGCCTCGGCCCCTTTAGAGAAGGTCCTAGGGCTCAGGGAAATGGACGGAATTGGGGCGGGGGGGGTCTCCAGAGCTGACTCTAGCTCAGGTGGTGCCTTCGTGCTGACTGTAAAAGGCTGCCCCTCCGAGCAGCTAGGCGAGGGGGACATGGGCTGGATTCCAGCCCCCTCCCGTGGGAAGGTACCGGAGTCAGCTTCCGCCCCTGAGAGGTGGCTGCAACACGGCTCTGAGCCCAGGAGACAGGACTTCTTTCAGTGCTGTTTTCACACACAAAACCTCCCCTCCCATCAGCAGAGGCTGCGCCGAGGAAAATGTCAGCCCAGAGCCCAGGAGGACAGGCCGGATTCACGGGCGGGGCAGGGCTATGCCCCGGTCCCACCTCCTGGTGGAGAGAGCGGGGAGCCTGCGCTCATGGACTCGTGCGGTCACTTTTTGACTTTTTAAAATATTGTCATAAAACAAACAAATCTGTAACCTAGTTTTCATTTATGTAGCTGGACTCATGAATTCCTGACATTTCTGTCACATTTCCAACAGTTATCATTTTTTTCTTGAAAATTAAAGGATAGAACTTGTTCCTCTATGCACGTGTCCCTCTGACAACACACTGCTGATGGCCACTTGGAAAGCTAAACAGAAGGACTGAGAACATGGGCTCTGGAGTCATACTTGCTGGCTTCACCTCCCAGCTCCACCTCTTACAAGCTGTGTAACTTGGGGCAAATTATGTAACCTCTCTGAGCCTCCATTCCCAGCAGCAATGCTAATATCACTGGACTGGTGTGGGGGGTTAATAAGATGATGCTCGTAAAGCACTCAACACAGTGCAGGGCATTAGGAAGAACTTAATAAATGAAGACATCGTCATCATCATTGACCAACCTCACTTCCCCTCTCCACTCCAAATCATATGCTAAACTCTCAGGTTGTCTCCTGCCCAGGGTGGCCTTCGGGGGAGATCTGCCCCATCAGCAGGTGGTAATGGTACAGAGAGCGGGGTACAGTCTTCCCCCAGGCAGGATCTGGAAAGTAAATGCTCTGTGTATGGCACAGTTGGACCCACCTATGCCGAGTCAGGGACCTCCCTGACCTGGCCCCCTTGGAGCTGGGCAGTGGCCACACAGAGGCAGCAACGTTGGCTGGATTCACCAAGCAGGCTGAATAGGACTCAGTCTGGTTTCTCCAGGCACAGACTCACCTCTCAGGCTCTGCATCCACATCTGTACCTCTTTGTACTTCTCTGGACAGATTACAATCTACTTTGAAGAGAGACGCTTGGAGGATCAGGAAGGGGCACCCTCCCAGGACACTGCCATCCCTGACAACAGCTCCAGCTTCTTCTGAGTGTCTTCCTGTTCTGGATCTCAGCTCTGCTCTCCACTTCCCTGTACACCAGCCACCCCCGCCCCATCCCCCATCCCCCATCCTCATTTCTTCTGCACATCCTCAGTGCCTTGGCACATGGTGGGACCTCGGATGCACTTGACATCAGGTGAATGAATGGATGAATGAAGGAGTAAATGATTCAACAATGACGACGATGATGAAGATGATAGCTGTCATGTCTAAGATTCTACCACATGTCAGCCTTGTGCTAAGTGCTTTACTTGCAATATCTTATTTAACCCTCTTAACAGTTCTAGAAGCTGGGTACCATGATTATCCCCATTTTACAGAGGAGGGTACTAAGGCTCAGAGAGGTTCATAGCCTGCCTAAGCGCAAACGCCTAGTAAATGGCAGAGCTGGGATTTGAGCCCAGGCGTGTCTGACTGCAAACTCCATTCTCTTAACCACCATGTATATATAGTGCCCAAAACTGCTGACCCCAAATCTCGATGGCTCAGAGGAATGAGAATTGTATGGAGTTCCAGGCAAGAGGATAATTCCTCAGGTAAGGTTGTTCTGTGGGAAGGTGTAGATTGGAGAAAAAGAGGGCAGCTTAATGATAATCAAGCGCTTACCTTGGGACTATCACTGTGCCATGCTTTATTTTATCATCACAGTCCTATTATGAGGTAGGTATCATTTCCATTTTCCAGAGGAGAAAACTGAGTTTCAGCACGGTTAAGCAACGTGTCCAGGGTCACAGAGCAATTAAGCAGCAAACCCAGGATTTGAGCTGTACCCTGTTAGCTCCAGAGCCCTTAACTTACTGCTCCCCATTATAGCTAGGAAGGGGAGCAGGGAGGAGGCAGCATTGACCTGAGACAGCTGCAATTGTGTAGCAACACACACACACGCACTCCCCGCCTTCTTCCTCCAGAGCTGACAGCCTTTATAAGAAACATGGGAATTTATAGTCAGAGATCACTCACAGCCCCTCCATAGTACACTCGCGGAATTGGAGGCCTGGAGGGGGCAGGAACAGCCCAAGGCCACACAGCGAGGACATTAGCAGGTCAGGGACCAGGGTCCCACCCTGGGCTGTTGTTCCCTGCCAGCCGCCTTGCTGTCCCTTCTCTGATTCTGGCGCTGGAGCCTCTGGCTGCTGTTTGTGCAGCTCTGTTCCCTTCCCAGGCACAGGGAAGGGGAGGTGCCTTCTGGGTATAAATAGCAGATGGAGATGCTTCTCTCCAGCAGGAGAGTTAACCCTTGGGGCCCTGGGCACAGAGAGATGCTCCTCTCCCGAGGGAGATGGTGTAGTGGCTGTCAGAGTTGGAGTATTCCTTCGAAATCACCTAGACCTTGCGCCTCAAAGTGTGGTCTGCGAACCAGCAGCCTTGGCATCGCCTCAGAGCATGTTAGAAATGCAAAGTCTCAGGCCCCACCCAGACCCAGAATCTACCTGTTAACAAGATGCCCAGATGGTCCAGACAGCCCTCTCCTTGTGAAGTTGGGGGAAAGTGGTTCAGAGAGGGTAGTGCTCCTACCCAAGGTCACACAGCCATTCCCTGACACAACTATATCTAGAATCTGCACTTCCTCCCCCCATGACTCAGAGCCCTGATGAGCAGGGCCGCAGCCCCTCATTTGTGCAGGGGTGGGGAAGGAGAGGTCAGGCAGTGACATGTTGTTCAGTGCCCATCCCCACCTGCCCTGGGCCCAGCCTCTCCGTGCAGCCCGTGCTCATTCTACTCCTGGGGCAGGGGCGGCCTAGGAGCTTGCCTCTGAGGAGCAAGAGGGCCACTGATCTAGGCAGGTGGGCAGGGCCACGGTGCCAGGCTGACTCAGCATGCGGCTGGGTTTAGGGAGTGGGCCGCACTGGTCAAGGCCTAGTTTGGCCTATTTTCGTCTCTCTCAGAGCTTCGGGAGTTTTCCTGAAACAGCTTTTCTGAAGGAGGATGCTGGCAGTGTGGGCTGGGAGGAAAGGCCCCTTCTTCACCTTCCCCCCAACCAAGCTGGTCTCTGAGGAATGTGGAAACCATTAAAGACACCCCCTTTCCCATCTCTATTTCCACCATCCCCGGAGAAGAGAGCAGCCGTACCCTGCCACAAACACCCACAAGGCTGGGCAGGGGAGCAGGGCCCAGCCCCACCCCACACCCTCACTTGTCCCCCAAGGCTCACCGATGTTGGGGTGTTTCAGCAGGCGGCAGATGCGGGCTTCACGCTCCAGCTTCTGATGGTCTGAAACAGAGACACCCGGGTGAGTCCCAGGTGAGTCCCAGGTAAGGGAGGAACCTGCACCCACTCTGCCTCTCCCTCCTCACAGCCTCTGAGGATCTCCACCTCCCAGCGCAGCCCTGGAGAAGCTTGCCTTTTGGGCAGGGCCTCTGGGTTCTCCAGGAAGGCAGCGGGATGCAGCAGCAGAGGGAGAGGCCTGGGTTGCAGTGACTCGGAAGTCCCTTCCCCTCTCTGGGCTGAGGTTTCCAGGGCTCTCAAACAAGGAACACCCCTGCGCCCCTTCCTGTATAAGACCCAGGCACCACGCAGCCTGGAGCACCCCCCAGGTCAGGCCTCTGCTGCCCCTCCTCCAGCCCTGCCCCTCATGAAGCACTCAGACTGATTGGCTGAATTTCTCTCCTCCAGGCACACCCTGCTCAGCCCTTCCACTTCGGGGCCTTTGCACTCACCATTCTGTCAGATCAGAACACCACCCCCGCCCCACCCCGCCCCAACCTCCCATCCATCCTTCGCTGGCCATCATTCACTCCTACCCATCCTCAGATGTTGCCCTCTCCCCACAGCCTGCCCTGACTGCCAGGCTGGTAGGGGTCCCTATTCTGGGCTCTCAGGGCCCCTGGACAGCACGTCCCACACTGCCTCATGGATATCTCTATCCTTGAGGGCAAGGACTCGGTCTCTGCTGTATTTGGCATTTACCCAAATGCCTGGCACATAGTAGGTGCTCAAGAAATAACTGAATAAAAGAACAAACAATCGAATGAATGAACCTTTCTAAGAGAGTGGGTATTCACTGCAGGAGAAGAACTGTATTAATTTGCAGAAACCACCTCCCTTGCAGAGGCTCCGGGAACAGGACACAGAGAGCCCCCAGTAATCTGCAGGGTAGAACTTGTATGTGGCAGCCTTGGGGCTTCTCCAGAGCTCTCATCCCTGCTTTCTAGGATTTCTGTCCAAATCCCCTGGGTCTCCCACCCACCTGGGAGAGAGGCCTCGTTTAGGAGCTGCCACCTGTGGTCTCTGCCTCTGAGGCTGCTGGGAGCAATCATACCCGTGACCCCATTCAGTCCTCCAAAAACCCTGGACTGTAGGCATCACTGTCCCTATTTTACGCATTCCTCGATTCCCTTTTTGGTGCTTTTCTCACAATTCGGTAGTTAATGCCTACTTTAAAAAACAAAACAGTAAAAAAGAAGCCAGTAGCAAATGTAGAATATTTACTATATTTCAGGCACCATGCAGAGCACTTTATGTACATTTCACGGCCTCACAATAGCCCTTTGAGGGACGTGCTATCCCTGTTCTGGCTTTACAGAAGAGGAAACAGAGGTTCAGGGAGGTTAAGTACCTGCCCCAAAGTCATGCGTGTGGTGGTGGGCAGTAGTGCCACACTTTGTACCCAGGCGGCCAGACTCCAGGGGTGAGCTTTAAAACCCTGAGCCAGGGGCCGGCCCCGTGGCTTAGCGGTTAAGTGCGCGCGCTCTGCTACTGGCGGCCCGGGTTCGGATCCCGGGCGCGCACCGACACGCCGCTTGTCCGGCCATGCTGAGGCGGCGTCCCACATACAGCAACTAGAAGGATGTGCAGCTATGACATACAACTATCTACCGGGGCTTTGGGGAGAAAAGGGGGGATAAAAAAAACAAAGGGAGGATTGGCAATAGATGTTAGCTCAGGGCCGGTCCTCCTCAGCAAAAAGAGGAGGATTGGCATGGATGTTAGCTCAGGGCTGATCTTCCTCACAAAAAATAAAAAAATAAATAAAACCCTGAGCTATACTGCTCTCCACACGGACTCACCAGCACCACCCCCACCTGCCCCCAATTCCCAAGTGGGAAAATCAAGGCCCGCAGGAGGGAACTCACTAGAACCCAGTCTCGGAATGGCCCCTCCAGAGCAGGCAGGCGCCAGGGAGGGTGATGAGGATGGAGGAAGTCCCAGTTCTTGTCCCCAGGCAGCCAGTTCCCCTTTCCCCTGCCCTCTCCATTTCAGCAATCACTGGCCGTCCTCCAAGGGCTGCACAAGCCAAGATTGATACTGAAATGTGGCTTTTCCATCAGCAAAGCAATTAAGTCCAATCCTGTTTCCGTAGGGTATAAGCTCAGGTCCCCAGCTGAAGGCGGGTTGCAGGCTAGGGGAGGGGAGGCCAGCCCAGGTTGGGGGGCATCCCCCTGTTTCCCCTCCCTCCCAGCCTCCTTCCATATCCTCCAGAGTGGAGGGAAGTCCATCCCCTGGCAAAGGAGGGGGATCCCCACCAAGGGCTGGCCGAGGTCCCCAGTGGGCTGAGGAAAGCTGGACTCTCCCCTGGCTCCACACCCTGACCCCCACCCCACCCACCCCCAGCAGAACCAGAAATCAGGCCGGTCAAAGTGGGGCCTGTCAGATGGGGCTAGGGGCCTTCTGGCCCAGGCTGCATATTCAGGGGACGAGGGACCTGAATCTAGAATTCTGACGTTTTCTCCGTGTGAGGTTACCCAGGAGCGGAGCTACACTGACAGGATTGAAAAAAGAAAGCATTGGTCACAGAAATTCAAACACACGCCTAGTTACCAGACCTCACTGCTGGAAAGGCGAGGAGCTCATTATTTCCATAAATCTCGTAATCATCTTGTGCGTAGTACAACTACACTGCACTGCAACTTTCAGTGCTAAAAGCATTAATTTGTTGAGTGCAAACATATACATTTTACAATAATTTTTGTAACTCTGTTTGAAATGTTTTCATTTTCTAATATACAGGGAACCTCAAGAAATGTAGGGACCATGCTTCTCTTGACTTCCGAGGCCTTGCTTTGTTATGTATATATGGGGAAACTGAGGCCCAGTGATAAAGGAGCAGCCCCTTTATCAAAATCACTGATCAGGTGGTCAAGTCTTATTAGAACTCAGAGCCCTGAGGAACCCCTCCCGGAGGCTCTCCTCCACCCCCGCCCCAGGCAATAGTCCTCAGCAGCCAAGGACCTCTTATTAAAATCTAAATTAGACCCGCTCACCCCCGGCTTCAAACTCTACAACAGATTCCCAACATACTTTTAACACAATCCAAACTCCTCATCACAGCCAGCAAGACCCTGCTGGTTCCTGCCTCATCTTGGCCTCGAAGCTCCAGCCGCAGTGGCCTCCTTTCTGGCCTCAGGCACATCGAGCCCCTTCCCACCTCAGGACATTTGCACATGCTTTGCCCTCTGCCTGGAATGCTCTTCTCCTGGGTCTCCTCATGGCTGCCTCCTTCTCCTCAGGCAGGTCCCAGCACAGAGAGCTCCCCTGGCTGCCTTTTCTGAGTATCCCTCCTGCCCATCACTTCTCCATTACTGTAACTGTCTTATTTTCTTTATAACACTCATTGCTACTGAAATTACCCAGTTTGTTTATGCATTTAATATTCTTTTCAGTATCCCTGCCTAGAAAATAGGTACAATGAGAGCAACACCTTGTCTGTTGGTCACTGCCGTGTTCCCAGGGCTGAGAGCCACTACGCAGCTTGTCCAAGGTCCCATAGCTAAGAAGTGGCAGAGCTGGGATCTCAACCCGTGTTCATAATTACTACACTACATTGCCTCCCATTCTCATGATTAATTGATAAATCAATCCATCCAGCTCAGTAGAATCCCACGATGGTAAGAAGTCAGAGGGAAGCTAGTCTGCGGCCTCCTGCCCAGGTACATGGAAGGGTTGCCCCAGTGCCCACTGTGATACCTTGTAAACCTTCTTCGGTCCTGGGGGCAGGCCTCCAGGGTCTTGGGATTAAGGAGGCCAGCCCTGCCCAGAGCTCAGCAGACGGTGGGGGCGGGGGGGTGAGACAGTGCCAGCAGGGCGGGGAGGGACAGAGCAGAGCATGGGGGAAGTGCAATCAGGTGGCCTGGAGGGCTCTGCTTGCAGAGGGGGTGGGCTCCAGCGGGCAGGTGGGCAGTGGGATTCTGGCTGGAGGCACAGGAACCAGGGGAGAAAACAGTCTCGGAACAGGAAACGCCCCTCCCTCCATAGGACCTCAACAGGGCTCCTGGGAGGTTGCAGAAATAATCCTGAGGACCAAGAGTGCCAGGCGGGGTTGGGAGGAAGATGAGAAAGATGGGGAAGACGTGTCTTACTGCCTCTTCACAGGCTCCCCCGTGTGGACTTGAAGCTCAGAGGCAGCCTGAACGAGCTCACACCATGCTTCCCACCCTGTGTCCTGGGACTGGTCACCAGGGGGCCAAGGAAGTGACCCCCTAGCGCTGGGGTGGATGGTGGGGCCTGCGAAGGGAGCTGTACCTGGGCCAGTCGCCTCTGGCTGCACCAGCCGCATCCACATGCCCAGCGCCTAGCATGCCCTAAAATGTTCATGAATTCTTTCTGTGTGCACTGTGGGAGGCTACGGCTAGGAGGCATACAGAGCCCTGGCGGGGAGCTACCACTGGGCATAAACGAGCTGTCCTCACTGCTGACAGGATCGTTTAAATGCAGGGGCTTGGGCCTCACCCACTGAATCTAACCCTCAGGGGTGAGACTGGGGCAGCTACATTTTTCTAAAGGGTCCCTAGGGGATTTGGCAGGGATTGGGACAGGCAAAATTTTTACTTTTCATTTCATGTCTTATGGCTTCTTAGAATTGCTTATTCTATGAGCATTTTATTTAAAAGACTAGTTTAAAAATACATACAAAAAATATCTGCTGGGTTTGGGAACCACTTGATAGAAGAGGCTGGCCTGGGTGGGGAAGGGGAAGCCACAGCTCCCTAGGGGGGTGGACGGACACCCCTGGTGGGCACGGCCCCCTGCCGGGCGTGCCAGCAGGAGAAGCTTAGAGAGTGTTGCCAAATATTCAGCCTCAAACGGCTCCCCACCCCAGGCTCCGTGAGTGGCAAACAAAGAAACCAGCTAAAAGAAGCTGTGCTCCTCCTCTCTCGCTGGGAGAGGAGCTTTGGCAGTTGGCAGACTTCTTTGGGAAGGTTGCCCTGAGACCCTCCCCACTCCCACCCTGCATGCTCACCTCAGCCTGGGCCACCTTCCTCCCAGGAGGTAAAAGGCTCAACAAATCCCCAAAGAGAGGGGGCTTGGCGGTTACTGCTGGCATAGCCCAGAGTCTATACTGCCCCAGGAATGCTTAGTCACCTTCCAGAAAAGAGGCAATGCCCCTTCCATTCTCCCCCATCCACATCTGTCTCTTTCTGTCAGTGTGTGTGTGAGTGTGTGTGTGTGTGTGTGTGTGTGTGTGTAGATGTGGCTCTGAGAGTGTGGTGAACTGGCCCAACATCCCCAGCATCCAGGGAGGACCTTGATTCCTGACCTTCCTTCGTTTAGGGGCAACCTCAACCTGTCTCCCCAAGTCATGGTTTTAGTCCTGCCCCCACTGTATCTCAGGGATTGGGACATCTCCCTTGATCACTAGAGACATAAAGCACAGAGAGGGCACCAAACTGCCACCAGTCACACAGCTACAGCAAGGCCAGTCTGGCGTCTGGACGTGAGACAGCCCTCCCGCCAGCCTTCCTGCCTGTCCTGGCTCCTTGTCGCTGGCTCTGGCTCTGGACCTTCCACCCCAGCTTTCGTGCTGACTGTGTGCCATCGAGGGCCCTGGACCTTCAGAAAACCCCACCCCCACCCCACCCCCCCGCGCGCCTG